CCGTTCAGATACATCTATGTTTTCATTTGGGCGGAGATTACAAATAACTCTATGGGGTATTTTACGGCCCTCTACCCAAGGAGAGGCGTCAAAGAACGCAGCGAAGAGCCATTACAGCCTCTCCGCCCGTCCGCCCCGTTCTATAATCAGTATTAAATGGGGTGCAATTACGATGACAAAAGATCGCCGCAAATTTTGCCTACTTCCACTCAAACCAAAAACTTGTGTCTTTTATGCCTACGGAGGGAGGGAGGGACGGAGAGAGAGAGAAAGAGAGGAATGCAGGAGGCAAATCAAAATTTTTCCTACCTAATTGTGTGTGTGTGTGTGTGTGCCTCTCTTACAATGCGCCATAAATCACCCAAATGGGAAAAAACCAGCGCGCATCCACAAATTCACACAGTTGGATGACGCAAAAGGATTTTGCCCAACCCATAGCACGGATGATCCTTTTGCTGGTATACCCAGTTATGTCACTACGGTAGTGGATTCCCTCTTTGCGGAGAGAGGGGAATGCAAGACAACTAACTGTATTCCTCTGTAAATGATCCAGTCCGACTGGGTGGGCTCACTCACCCACACTCACACTCAGAAATCTCCCTTTGGAGTGCCAAGGACAACCTTTTAACAGTTTTTCCCCTCTGAGAGGGCCATCGGACAGCAGCACTGTGTCTGACCTCTTGGTCTGCTTTTCTAACGGTTTTTGAGGACGCTGGTTTTTGTGCCCTTGACAAATAAAAAGCGCGCAAAACGATAGGGAAATGATTCTTATTGGTGTCAAATCGTGGTTATGTAGGCATTACCAGGACCAATGTAATCTGGAGGATTACAGTTAGAGTTATGCGAGCCACTGACCTGACTTCGAGCCGTGATTTTCGGTCCGAGTCTAGTGACGGTGGCGTCTAACTCAGCGATGGTCACCTTCACCGCGGGGTTCTTCAACTGCCCGTTTCGGGTGAAGTCTGCTACCCGTTCATATTCGCTAAAGGGGAGAAATGTTTGGCGTTTCAAAGATCAAATAAGTCATATTAACCTCTAATAAGAATTTGCACTAAAAATTTCCAAGGGTTTGATTTGTTCTCCGAAATGGACTGAGGGATGGTGCAAAGTGCCACAAATAATTACTCGTTGTCACAGAAGAGTGACAACTCTACCCTATTCTTCGCTGAGGAGCCTTACGTGTCCAATTTTAACCTTTAGGATGAATGTCATCCACTTTTGCTTAAGGCAAGTAGATCAGCAAAGTCTCAACGCCCTCGGTTCAACTCTGGCGTGTACTTTAGCGACTGACTACGTTTACTTCTAGGATAATCCAAAGATCATGTAAATTGCGTTTTGCCCCTGAAGTCTGTTTACTTCCTCCATTATCTGCATGTTGTTTTGTTACCAGGGTGCCCGATTTCCAACTCCCGGGTTGGTGGAGTTCAAGAGAACTTTAAAGCCTCCCATTGTTGTGAGGGAAGGGAGCGATTATTCCAACAGAGCGCTCTATTTAGTGAATTCACCCCTTTGGATTTGAACGTTGGTGAGCATGACAATTGGGCTCGGTAGGAGTGCTCTACCACTCGACAGAAATCACCGACTTTTGCCTGAGGTCCTACGCCGACTCATTAATAGAACTTTGCCTTAACTTCCGGTCGGGATTGACAACGATATATCAAAATACCGACAATGGAGACGGCAAGAGGGCTATTTGTTCATCCTACGTTCCTCTGTATGAGTATAAAAGCATGGCGATAACCAAGGGAGGAATCAGACCTGCTGCTACCGACAGAAGAAATGTACGCTCTTGTCGCCTTCTTCACAACTGTCGCTGTCTTTAGCTTCTCCAAAGGTGGGTGCTTCTCATTTAGCTACTCCACCCTGTTTTTCTGTTCCTCTGTCTACTCGACCTCAAGTATAGGTATATTTGAGCGTGGCCGCTTCTTTGTAAGTCTTTTCTACAGATACTGGGCATCGGACCAAGGGAGGGAGCTTTTAAACCTGAATCCGCCTTAGCATTCACTTAAGTAGATAGGTAAAGAACTAATTCAATTTAGGTGAAGAGTACCATCAGTCGTCGAAATCCGCTCCAAGGTTGGAGGGAAAACCTCACAAGATTAACCTCGAGACCCCAATAAGCGTTTCAGCATTAGAAATGGGCAATGTTAGGGGAACAAACGAAGTCAATTTGTTTTCCCACTTTTAGCCCAAAGTGATCCCTGCCGTATGCTGATTGAACTGGGACTTTGCTTGGCCTACTTTCCATCATGGGGCTACGAGCAGTCCACCGGTCAGTGTGTTGAATTCATCTACGGCGGCTGTCAAGGCAACTTGAACAGGTTTTACAGTAAGGAGGAGTGTGAAGCTACCTCCAGTAAGTGAACTTCCTTGCCCACTTTATCTGGCTAAGTTAACACTCAGTCTCCATGTGGAGGGTGAGTCGAGTTAGATTCATGTGAAATTTATCGGTCTTTTCTACTAAACTGCATTTCTCTCGCTTTAGTCGTCTCGAATCGCTGCAATCAGCCTATTGTGCAGGGTAGATGCCGGGCCTACATCCCCTCGTGGGGCTACGACATGGTATCGGGCAGGTGCAAACGCTTTATCTACGGTGGTTGCCATGGCAATCAGAACCGCTTCAGATCCAGAGAGGTATGCAAGATGGCCTGTGACGAGTAAATTCGTGCCACCGACACATCGGTGAACTACTCGGATGCCTGCGAACCCTCTTCCTCCTCTCTCCCTCCGGCAGTCCTCAGATACACGTTTCTACCTTACCCCCACTTCACTTACATCTATATCACCTTCCGCTCATTGTCTCTTAAATAAAGCTATCAGCCCTTCTTTAAGCGTTTCTTCCCGAGTGGACCTGTATGGATCGCCATGTAGAAGGACTGGGTGGCCAAAGTCAAATTTCACCTTGCCTGAATTAAAGTGTCAAATTTTGTGTGCTATTGGCGAATGGTGACAAAAAAGTTCAGAATGGTAGATGTACCACTTACTCCTCAAACTTGTGCCCATTCCAGCAATTCTGTCCACTGCCCAACAGGCACGGCTGCCCGAGATGCTCGCCAAAGAGGCGTTCGGGTACTATGAACTGCTCAATGAGTTGTTCCATGCGAAGGTAGCTGCGTTGCTGCTCACTGCGCAGGTCATCACCGCCACCGCTGTCGTGCTGCCTTGGCGGAGATAGAGGCCACATGTGTGCTGCTGTGAGATTTGCATTTTCCACCGACGACGCGGTGGGTGGAGAGCGCAACGCACGTTCGGTTGCGGGCCAGAGGAACTCCGCCACCTCAACCTTCCACTCAGAGCTAGCGGGATCGATGACCTCCACTGCCGGGTTGCCGGTGCAGCGGTGTTTTACCTAAGAGTGGGTGGATGATAAATAACAGCCTTCATGGACACGGTTGCTGTCAGCTTCAAAACATGCGTGATCTTAAGCCCGCGCGCCACGTATGTATGACGCACCGAACTACACCTAATTTGATTGTATTGTCCTCTTTGCAAATATTAAAGGCGATTGTTAGGCCAATGATTTATCGTGACTTTTGAGAAAAGTGTGATCTCATGGTTTTCATGCATTAGTACGAGCAATCAGCTCAACTGCCTTCAAAAGTTCTTTAGTTGAACTAACTAACTATCGCATCGTTGAGGCATTTGAGGTAAATTGAAAGCTTGGCAATATTTCCAGTCCTACCGTTGGCCTTTTGGTTATCTTAACCACCAAAATAGGCGACAAAAAGCCCCTCGACTCAAGGGTTTTTGAATTAAGATAATAAAACCACAGAAACCCCACGAATGTGATTACGAAGGTGTGTTGGTGACAGGGCGCTTGTCATTCTGGCAACTCTCAGAGAGGTATTGAATTACATTGGACAGAGGGGGTGGCAGATGAAGGACAACTTATAGCGAATTTGCACACCATGCAAATAGTTCCTGCTCCAAAGCAGATTTCTTAATCCCCTAATCTATCTACATCTTACCAACCTTTATGTGGAAGGGGATCATCAACTACGTGACCCTCTGCCTCATTTGTTATGGATGTGCCATCCAGAAAATTAGAAAATCTCATTCCACCCGCCATGCTTAGCAAATGCCTTACAGTATTAAAACTTTAAAGAAGTAATTTTCTCGGGCGGAAAAGAAAGAGCTAAGCAAGCATATAAACCACGAAAATTCTTTTTTGTGGCAGGACAAAAACCTTTCTTCCTTCTCTTTCCTTCCTGAGTCGAGTACTGTTGCTAGTTTTGAGAGGTAATTTGAGATGTCGCCACCACTGCAAATGCCGCGCATGTTATGGCCGTAGCTCCATGTTAGCGGCCGTCTTTCTGGAGGAAAGTAAGCTACTCCAATACGGAGAATACTTTTTGTGAACTAACTCTTACTGCCTCTGTCGGTGTTTCAAACCGCCCGTATTATACTGACTCCAGGTCATCCCAAAGTCAGATTGGGCGAAACAAAATACCTACCCTCTCAAGAGGCAAAAAAGACGTAAAATTGGAATGGTGGAAAAGGTTATTGCTAGTTAAATCACAAGCTTTAATTGACAGCAACTCATCTACTTCCCTATCCAAAGTGCGAGGTGACCCCTGGAGTTGACACTTCAAAAGGTCAAAGACTTCATTCACTGCGTTTTAACACTACAGCAAGGAAGTCGAGTTAAAGTACTTCCATGCCTTGTAGGAGTACTACCAGTGACCCGGAGTTCTTTGCCTTACCCACCTTATTGGATCCACGTCAGATTGACCACTTGTCAAATTGTTCAACACGTCACATATGTGTGTCATGAACACCAAATCGTGTTAAAACAGGTTCATCAAGTGCGACGATATTCACACCTTCCAGTTTTGGCTATATTAAACCAGTTAATTCCTGTTTTGTAGCGGTGAGGATTCTGATAGTGGACACTTTGGCTCTCATTGGTCGGTTCGTGTTTAGTTCTATGCCTTGTTCGCTATCCGACGCCGCAATGTTAGCGTCGTGGAAGTAACTCTAAATGGACCAAAATAAATTTGCCTTTTCTCCTCTTTAGCCCCAACAAACAGGCGTTAAATACCCCCACGGCTGTTTACTGGTCTGGCAGCCTTTTATTGCACCGCTACCTTTAAAAGTTTCACCGAGCCATCCACCTTAATGAATAGGCATAAGAGGCAGAAAATGGCCCTTTAATTGAGAAAAAAGGTGATCCGTCAAGACAGCTGGAGAGGGGAAGTCGAATAGGTGCCTGATTTTAGGTGGTAAAAAGTCTGCCGCGAATGGTGGATTAAAAGGCAGAATAATTGCCTGAAACCTGTATTTACTGGCAACTAGACACATTTTCATGGAGGAAATTATAAGCCTTGCATTGTCAGCAGTATTCAAGAGGGGGTAGCAGACATTCGCAGCATCGGGGCAGTAACCGCACAAAAAAATATCCTTATACTTCTCCTTGACACCTATCATTTTGTAGATTAATAATGGGGGCTGGAGTTGCAGGGGCCAAATGCCATTCCAGACGAAATTACTCAATGTCCTCTAATAGATAAAAGCTAGGAATGATCAACTTTCCATATTTACCTAAATGGACCAAACTATCCAACTTACCTTTTTGCGGATAGAAGCCCATTGGGTAGAGGGTAGACTTTCAAGCTTCCTACTCCATGCATGCATCTCATCGAGAAAGTGGTTGTGGAGAAATGCACCGCCGGTGTCCGATTGTTTGGAGGTAATTTGAGCTAGCAGACGACTCAGGTCGATAAAGTCTTTGCTCAACTGGGAGAGCTGAGGTTGAATGCCTGTTAGGCTTGCATAGCATCCCCGAATTACATTCAAGCACCTGTAGGGGCAAGGTGAACCGATGAGGTTGATGACCTGAGGCACTTCCTGGTTGTAGCTTTGCGCTGAGGTATTTTGGCTTTGACAAAGACGGCAGAAAAAGAGTTGTTCAAAACCAGCAGCGCAGGACTCCGACAGCTTCTGCTGCTTAAATGTTGAAAGGATCTGGTTATAAGGAAAAAGACTTTAAGGCAAGAATTTAAGGTGCGCACAATCTTGGGTGGTGCCAAACATGCAACTCACTTCAATGAAGAACGAGAAATGATCTAAATATTTAACAAGATTATTTTCCAAATCATCTTGAATTTTATAAGCCGAGACATCAACTGCATCCAGCTTTACAATTTCCAGTAAATTTAAAATTTCTGCATCATTGCTCAGGCAATATTGTAGTTCTGGATTAAGCTTAGTTAGGCGAGTTGCCGAAATGAGTTTCAGCTCTAGCAATACGTTCCTATAATTTGCGTACTTTAAAAATAAATACTTGCTTACTTCATTGAAGCCTGAAAGAAATTCTTTCGTTCGGGCATACTTATCATTGAGAGAATTGAAGAGTATAGTTTTGAAACTGAAGTAGCTATCTGGTGAGGTGGAAGTTGACTCTGGATACCGCTTGTGAATAGGTCACTTAAATATATTTCAAGAGATTGAATAAAGGGTTCTGGAAAAAGGGCAGATTATCAATTAAACTGTTAGACATACTTATAAAAACAGGAAAAAATGAATCAAGCTGGCTTCTTATATATCCAATCTTTGACACGGCGCTTATATCATCTGCGAATTTATAAGCCAGGTAGATATTTTCCGCATCAACATTGCAACAGTTTTCCACCGAAGCATGACAGTGCTGCAACGAAGAAGCTTAAAATGATGTAAGACCAACTGCACTAAATGTACCTGAGTTCAGTGTAATTAAATCATCATCCTCAAATCTTTGTTGCTGCTTAGCATTACCAAATAGGTATAATCTTAAAGCATGATATATCATATGTGGGTTTTTGCAACAGAGTTGTGGTTTGGTAACTACAAGAATGATGAAAGCATATGCTATACAATGGAATGTTCGCATAGTGAAGGCAAATATGATTTATTCTATTTCCGCGCATTTCAGGCACATTTTCGTGTTCAACCACGCGATGAGGTCATCAATGTTGGACTGGAAAACTTAAATGAATCAAACACGATCATATCTCAAATGATGAGCAAAAAAATAATCATCATGCTAGCGATCTTTTTTACTATTATAAATTGCAAATCTATTTACAACGTTTATGGCATTAGAAAGATATTTTATTTACAGTTACGAGGGTTTTATTTCAAAGTAGGTCAAAAATGCAAAATTGTACTGCTTGGAAGACTTGAACAAAACCATGGTATTTATTCAAAACACTTTGGATGATCGCGTGATTTTGTTGGCAGTTGTTCGTAGTCTTCTTGAACCGTCTAACTCATTTTGTACATTCCCTTTTCAAATCAGCGCTACATCTAGCTATGCTGTAGAATAGGGCTCACAGGTCCTCCTTTCCCTATTCCTTGTACTCTCAGAACAACCGGATTGGTTTGATTTCGATATATTTATTGAGGAAAGCGAATAAGGGAAGCTAGTACAGTGTTAAGGGGATAAGGGTCCGTAACCGCTCTCAGGCTTGCAGGACATCGACCCTGTCACGAAGTTTGATTTGCGACCCCGCCTTATCTTTCAAAGGAACATTAAAACAATATAAGTATTATAATACAGTATATATCTGGTAAAGCCACTTGCTAAGTGCCATACAATATGTGATTGCACACATGAAGCCCAGAGTGAACCATTCTACGGGTGCACTTTTGTTTACACAATTATTGGGAATAACGTCCTGCTGCATTGAATGCTAAACACACTATAGACAAGTGGGAGTCTTAGATGCTTTGAAAATTCGCTTCATCTAAAAGAATGTATGCAATGTATCGCACCTCATCTTAAGAATCTTTTTAGCGTGTTTTTAAAAATAGCACCTTTTTTACTGCAGTTTGAGGCTGCAAAGTGAATGATTCTTTTATATGAGTTTATCGTAGGCATTTAATGTCAGGAAGGTAGGTCATTACCCCTTATTTCATTGGCTGGGATCGAGATTTGATTTCCCGTTGTAATCATTTTAGCTGCAGCCGTGTTTGAGGGTTTTTTTCATTCCATTGATCTGCATAGGATCTTTTTGACAGCTAGCTTGACGTAGTTTAAGTTATAATTAGGATTCCTGTTGATTTTCGACTTCTCTATGTGCATAGTTGTGTTTTTTCTTCCTACTTTTATTTCTGCAGTCCATTCTTCTCCAGTTATGCCTTCTCGTAGTTAGTTTAAAAGTGCTAATTTGTGTAATTGGTGGATGTTTCTTTTGCCCTAAACGGTTTTGATGGCCTAATTAACGTTCCCGCAAATTACTTCCATTTCAGCTACTATGCCGAAGGCAGCTCCTAAGCGGGTATACAAAATCGCTAAGGCAATAAAAGAGGGATTCGAAATTTCAGATCCGCATTCAAATACATGGATTGTCGGTGAGGCAATCGCACAAGGTGGCTTCGGATCCCTTTATGTTGGTACGCTTGCACATTTGATGAATCTCCCCTGCAAACTCTGACTCTTGATTTCAAGGAGACACTGTCACACGGTTTTCCACGAGTAGTTTGTTTTACTAATTTCTAGCACGTTTGGATTTAAGGGACAAATTTTGCTCGTGTTTTTTACAAGTAATCGGGTTTGGAAGCTGCTTTTATTATTATTAGTGTGATACCACAACTCATTACCAATTATTGGTTTATAATGGTTGTCTTTCCCCATGTGCAGCCTCTTCCAAAAAGAACCCCAGAGCAAAGAGCTATGTTCTCAAAATTGTGAGTCCGTTTTCTTGTCTCACCCTTTGTTCGTCCCAGGAACCGCAGGAAAATGGACCACTATTTACTGAGACCCACTTCTACACCCGTGTATGCAAGCAGGAGCTGCGTAAGTTGACCATGGGACTTTTGCTTACAACCCATGTTTGCCATTATTCTTTTCTAGTGGACGAATGGAAAGCAGAGCATGGCCTCACTTTCCTGGGTATTCCGCGTTTCATTTCCAAGGGCCTATTCGTGTCACCAAATCATCAGACTTGTCGCTTCCTCGTCATGGATCGTTTTCATGACTCTCTTGAAGACTGCCTCACACGACACGAGTTCACTCCGCCTGGCATTCCCCCTATCGCCATTCAGACGGTATGTGTGTAATCATAATGCCTACTGTCATAGTTTTTCTGGTTTGATATATAGAGATTACACCTGTCCCCATTCTCCCTTGGGCGCAATGCTTACCTTGTCAGTCCATCCCCCGAATTTCCATGATTACTTGGTAACGCTAAGTTGATTTGACTAGTTCCGGATGCAGAGTTCGTTCAAATAACTCCCTGTACTATTGTCGAAATGAGTAGATGGTTGTGTAGCAATTTAACCTTAAGTTTAGTTATCTCGTTGCTTTGACGTAGTGGAAGCATGACCGTTTAGCTATTTTCGGATTCAATGGCTTCGTACCTCCTTATTACGAATGCAGGCTTGTGCCATGGCTACGCAGTCGTGTCTACTTACATATTTGTACGCGGTTCATGAAGTCCTAACCATAATCCGTTTCATGAAACCTACCACTCAGTGGAGGTTCAATGAGTTAATATTCTCTGAGTTGGTCTACCGTTTAATTAATGTGCAAATGTATATTGAAGGCTTCTAAGTCAGAAGATGTGGGTTTGATTATGTCAAGCATATCACCCCTAAAATGCCTGGAGCCACAGGTAGTACTGACATTTTGTGTTCCAAAAAGATCCCTCATCATACCCATATGGCGCCGAGACTTCTTTGCAGACGAGACGTAATACTCAGGCAAAATATGTATTTCCAAAACGGAGAAGGGCCTAGGGCCACTGGTATGGCCCAAGGGCCAGGGCGCCTGGCAAAAGTACAATGGTGATGGTTCATTTTGAAAACCGAGAGTTAGAGTAACGATTAAAGTGTTACACAGCCCCTCTCCCCTTTTGAGTGTCGTCTCTGGCGCTCGCCTTGGTCGACATCCCTTGTCGGCCATCAAAAAGTAGCCAGTGTTGTAGAGAAACATCCATGAGCCAGCCACGCCAGCCATCGAATTCCCATGCAACTGAGACGATACTCGGGCGCAACGTACTGACCCCTCTTTGCAGTTCCATCGAATGCAAAGCTTCGTCTTGTGCGGTAAATGCATTGGGGAACGCAGAAATGTGGTGGCCATTACGCGTGTCTGTAGCCAGTCGTAGGAATACTGACCTAAAAGCCGAGTCACATATCAAAGGACGGGATCTAGTACAGTTTCATGGGGTCAGGATTTCACGTCTGTTCCTCCCTCCCACTTTTTCTTGCTTCAGTGCTGTGTTCTACCCAACCAGTAAAGTGGTGGAGGTGTCGCCACTTCACATAATTGACATCTTCATACGGGAATGGTAAACTGCTCCGTGATTAACCTCCCTAGATGATTCGCTTTAGTTGTTGATAACTTTCCTGCAAATCACGATAGTGGGGTAGTTGCCGAATCGTAGGCGTCTTTATCAACCCTCCTGTTCGGGGTGGTCACAGATTCCCCTCTCCGCAGCGTATGCACTTCTTCCGCCCTGTGAAGGTTTATCACCTAGCTGTAGAAGAGAGGACAGTTCTCCTCTAAGGTAGGGCTTGCTTTCTGCTGCCACCTTTCTGAAGATAAAAAGGACATAATACTGAGGTAGAATGCGTATACTCGACTTAGAGAAGGGCTTGGGGTTACCGGCATGACCGCCCGACGGACGGGCAATGGCGGAGCCTCCAAGCGGTCCCCCCACCAAAGCCGAGAAGTAAACAAGCAATTAAAGTATTACATATAAGTGCATAGACTTCGTTTTGCCTTGTCTTGATTCCGACTCCTGCCCAGCACATTGTTTTGGCGGTTCTTTTTCCTTTTAGCTTGATGCCCTGGAGTACATTCACTCAAAAGACTACGTTCATGCTGACATAAAGGCCTCCAATCTCCTTCGCGGTGATGCAGGCATGGTGAGTCGAGCTGAGCAATCCTTCTTGATCGCTTAATTGTGATCCGAGGGCGTTAAATTAATGGTAGATGTGGTTATTATCGACAAAATGACGCCACCGTGGTTGACGTAGAAAGGTCAAAACAGGAAAGCAATTTTAACTTCGTATGGCTGGGTGGAAAAAATTAGCGTTGGGTACGCATTAAGCGAGAGAAGGGGAACAGCATCTTTGTGTTGGAAGCATTCGGAGGAGCGTTTTCGCATTCCTTGCCTACCGAATCTGCTCACCTTGCCACTGGGGTCACCGTAGTCGGATGAGATGCATCGCCAAGTCTGTTGTTATTGTTTTCTTGCTAGTAGACCGGATCAATCGGTAAGTCGCAGATGTCACTGCAAGCTGAGAGAAATGGAATGACGTGGATGCAATGTTTGTGGGGTTTTTGAATAGTACCCCAGCGCCGGAATCCTCGCTGAATGTGAGAAAATCTAAACGAAGATTTACTATCGGCCGCAAAGGATGCTTTTAACATCCTCATGACCAATAGGCGTCATATTTCCAGCGCATTCCGATATTTGTGACCTAAATGTTCAATTCACTCTGGAGTGGTTGTTGCATTCCCGGATTTTTGAGCCGTCCGTCAGGTAGTAGATTTTGGATAGATGGGCCTAATTTAACCGAGAAATTCACTCTTTCAGTTCTACTTAGCCGACTTTGGTCTGGTGTCGCAGTACCGTGTCAATGGTGGTGGTCACAGAGCAGAGAAGGCCTCGCTTAAGCTACGCGACAACGGCACCCTCGAATTTTGCTCGCGAGATGCTCATGCCGGTGGGTTGGAGTTCCTTGTTTCATGCCCTGTCTTTGCTTGTGCCATCGTTTCTACACCTGAATGGCTATTAAATTCACGTGTGCTGGTGGGAATTAAGCTAACTTGCGTTACCACCCAACTGTTGCGTGTCCCCTGTATTGTAGGCTTGCCACCTTCGCGACGAAGTGATCTAGAAATCCTCCTTTTCAATCTCTTCCACTGGTTGTATCGCGCCCGTCCCAACGCGTCACAGAGTTCTTGTGCTGGCCTGCCCTGGGAAGCTTTCATTGGCGGTGAGCCATCGGCTTCTCTGACCATCTTATTCATTCACATCCGCTCTCCCGCAAGGCTTTTGACTTGCTCCAAATCCCGGCTTATTCAACCATTGTGTCACAGTTGCCTGTCCGTATAAGTTGCAAGATTGGGGCGTAGTGGGTTTATTCCTTGCTCACTTGGCCGACCAACCAGCAGTCTTCTACTTTCCCTCCCTCCCCCCGTTTCGGTCAACTCGAGCTTTTGCCTTACAGATGAAGTAGAAATAAGGTGAGAGGCTGATTTGACTCCCAATTTCGGCTCTCTCCCATCTCTATTTCCCCTCTCAGGTGTCGCAATGCGCACCAGTGTGCCGACAGCGGTGCGGGAGCGGGTGGTGCAATCGAAGATGGAGGCCATGGACCCCGCGCACACCTCCGTTCTCCTCGATGCCACCGGTCTCGGCTACCAACCCGGTCTGTTTTCTCCCCTTTTGCTACTACTTATTCTGCCCCTGCTGTTGTCAGGTTATGGTGTGCCCGATGACTCAGCGGGAATGCAAATTGGTAGCCACTCCTCATTTCACGTCTTTTTCCCCTTTCTGTCGCCAAATCAGAGTTTCCTTGTCTACTTCAATACTGATTGCATGTCCACCATCGATGTGATTATTTAATGGCTGCGGTTTTTGGTCCAAGTTGATAAGAGTGCCTCCTTTTGAGTGTATGTGTATGTGGTTGTTAACACCTATACCCCCTTTATCGCCTCATCCAGCTCTTGAGGCCCTGATCCATACAGTGGGCGAACTGGGCTACGCGGAGACGCCGAACTACGAGCGTTGCAGGGATCTGCTGAAAGCGTTAACAAAGAGTCTCACTGCTGACGCCACTACCGCCGATTCTGGAACCCTGAACAGGCGCAAACACGTCCTTGCCGAGGTGAACAGTAGGGAGACGCACGATACACATTCCAGAAAGGTAATACTGCCGCTTGCCTCTTTCTTTTGATCAGATTTCTAGCGGTAAAAAGTGGCTATCTCTTGATGCAAGATAAGCAATCTGATTTGGTTTATTTCCACGCCTTTATTTTGGACAAATATCTCCTTTTAAAATGAAAAGCTTCCTTCCTCTGGATGTTTTCTAATCGCACATAAGAATGGATGCCTGTGCTCTTTGGCGGGTTGACTAAAATATCAGGGTCTTACGAGGTCTAGCACCAATGAATGGTACTGGTTGAAAGCTGGTACTAGGTTGTCCTCCTTCTGCACTCTCACTTCCAGGTCAGAGTGCCTTTAATAAGTAATTCAGTGCTTACTTTTGACATCGCAATTTTCTAGAGGGAGAACTGTGACCAATCACTTAACAGAAAGGGAAGTGGTATAGTGAACTTCCACGGCGTACCACATCGGTTTTAGGCTAGATTTGCGGTGTTGCTTATCGAGGATTTTGTCGGGATTCCTAAATGTCGCTTTCTTCCTTCCTCAGAGGTAAAAACACCAGTATCCAGCAGGTGGCCACTTTGAGATACTAAGAAGGCTTTTTCTCACCCTCTATTGACTACCGTATAAGATGCGGTGGTGTTAAACGTGCCTTTTGTTTACAAGGATCCCGCCTAGTCCTCTCCATGCCTTTCATCACCTTGCAGGCACCAGACAAGTCGGAGAGTGTAGTGGAAAAGCCAAGCCGAAGAAAGCCCACCGTCAAACAGCCTCAGGCACGGAATACCGTGGAGGTATGCGGCGTTTCACAGTAAGTATTCACTCTAGTCCGTATACTGCCTTAGAGAAAAAAGACACTCCATTTTTTTTTGCTCGGCTCACTTGCCATTATTGTGTTTTAGCTCAAAAGATGACGAGGAAGAGGATGAGGGGTTAATAGTACCATCCTCGAACACCACCCCCGCTATTGGCGCTCGCGTCCGTCCGCCGGCACGGCGCAGTGCCCGTACGAGACGCGCGATGAACAGTGTCTTTGAGCCCAGTGACGAAAGCGGCGACGACAATGATGACAATGAGGAGGATTTCATTCCCACTCCCAAACGGGCCCAGCATCAACAGAAGCAGCAGCGGACACGCAGCCGACTGGTGGCACCTGGAGTAGCGACGCAGACGTCGCCGCGACTGTTACGACAGCTGGAGCGTGAAGAGCGGAGACGAAACTTCTTTTGAATCTTCGCTCCTGCCTGCAGACAGAGCCCAGTGGCACCGTTTGTTTGTAAACCTTGTGTAAAAGTTCTCTATGTATGAATGCATCCGTGTTCGGGAGTAGCAGGCAAGTGGGGACTTTCCGATTCTTGATAGAATCTCGCCTGGATGCATCTTGAAGATGTCTCACCGTCGAGGTTATCAGAGAACTGGTGGGGTTTTTTCGCCCAGAACAAAGCAAACAAAGTCGGAAATTACATTGCTAGCAGTGGGGTTCTTGCTTCAACAGATCATTTGCAATTCAGGTACGACTAGTGAGCTTTCGGTACGCCGAATCTGTGTCGTAAGGGGTTCATATCTGGTAAAAGGTATTAACGCGTGTCGAGTATTCAGCGCCTGGAGGTAGAATGAGGTAAGGCATAGCAAGATAATGATGGAAGCACAGAGGAAATAATGAGGAATTTGGATCCCCTGTTAGATAAGGCGGAATTGGTATATGCGGTAAGGCGACGCCTGCATCCGGATGGTTCATTCCACCAGTCGATCGACCAGTCGGTAGATGCCTGGGGTACAGGAAAAGTTCTCTTACCCAGCTTAGTGGCATTCTTCGGTAGCTAGTTTCCGAACATTCCAGGGCTGCTCCTTTTGCTCTCTCCTCCTGAATGGTTGAGTATCACCTAGGCTCCACTTTCAGTGCCCAAACAACCATAAATGAGCGCGGCCAAGGTGGCACAGAAGTCTGCTGGTCAGCTGTTGGCCTCGTGCACTTGCTCTGAAGTCCATTACTAGTAAGGTCAAGATCTCGAGCGAATTAAGGTCACATCAATTTAGAAATCCCAGCCCGTAGCACGTGGTGGATCTACTTGCAAGAGCTGTCTACTCCGTCTACAACAATTTTGGATGAAGCTAAAGTAGTTTGCCGAATTGTCACCAAATTTGGACAGTCGACAACTGGAGAACTTTATGGTGGACATCACAGATACCTTGAGATTTGGCTGGGGGGATGCAGGGTGCGAGTTCTCTTGGCGAGACCTCACGAAGAGGGCTGAAAATCACTAGGGGCAGTGAATTGACGTGATTTCGGACGTCATGGTTGGAAGTAACAATGACTCAGACGAGTGGCAAAGTGGCTGTAGCATAACTTGATCCGAATATTTTGCAGGTTCCCTAGGTGCCTCTTCAAGCCTGTTAGCTTCCGCAAAGCAGAACTCCCATCATCCGACAGGCAGGATATCCTCGACTTCAAAGGCGCTGCAATAGCGTAGTGCACTTCAATCGGGAGCATTGAATCAGTCAGGCGCGGAAGGACCTTCATGTCTTTCTTCAACATTGTCTTCGCGGTGCAAAGGTTTTCCAGCTCGAACCCGCATTCCAAACTCCAGTTTACTTACGGGCAGCGCCAAGGGATGAAATTGCCTCCCCATTTTCGTCAATATGTCACTGACACACACTTCCATTGCAGAGATGGCAGCTCCCACCTATTAACAAAGCCTTGGGAACTCCTCTTCCACCATATTTATCAAGTTATATCCATCGTACTGAAGGATGAAACATGACACTCCAAAATCAGGTGTCAGTGAAATTTGAACCACATTCCAAATGTCAATCTGCTGAAGGCGAACATCAAAACGTGATTCAGATACTAAAAAGTAAATTGCGACCAATGATTGGATGACCTCATCCGCAGTCGCCTTGTCACTTGCCTGCGCCAGTAATTGGATGAAACAAGTTTACGCCTCACGGGCTGTGTGAACCGGAAATGATGGAGACCAAAAATTTCGGAGCTTTGGTGATGTGATGCAGGTGTTTTGCGCTCTTGGCCGACAGTTTACATATAGGTGTGGATGACTAATATGCGGGTAGCTAGCGTCTATGCTATGACTGCACTTCAATCGTCTGGCCATACGTGAGTCAGCCGTAGTCTAGGATGCGGACTGAGAGACCTGAAGCCACGTCCGACGCACACGTTTGGTGACTTGTCGAGCACCACAGTGCTCTGCGTCTAGGGCGTTGTACCGAGGAAAGAAATCTCGATGAATAATAGCACTGTGGAGAAATCTACAGCACACCCCAACTGTCTGATACCGCATCCAACACGGACGGACGAGTGGGTATCCGCCTTCGCAGCAGAAGATTGTATTCAGGGAGGGAGTAAGGGAAGGGCTCATTGTCGGCAGTGACCCTATCCTTCGCACCGTTGCAGTTGACGATAAAATACTGGTCATGCTGTTCCGACACTCTATGACCCATCGTAGGCTGGACGTGAGAGTGGTCGCATGGAATCAAATGGAGAATTCAGGTCGGCGTGGATTTCTGAGATCTGATTCGGCGTACGAGAAGAGGCGAGGTTCAGATGGCAGATGTGGTATTTGAGGCACGATGCGTACAAAGTGCAATCAACTTCACTAGTGGTGGAAAATTCATTGAGCATTTTATCAGGGAGAAGTGTAGTATCAAACACCAGTTCGGATGGGCAATAGTAAATATTCCTCCTTCATTGTAGAGCGAATCCCAATCAAGGCAATAAGGAGCAACTGAATCCGATTGCATCCAAGGAGACGTTGTAGACCTCGGAATAATTCAAGCGTGAATTGGGGGCCGAGGTCAGTGATGACTACAACGGGTACTGAAAAGGGAAAATCCACGACTTAATTGATGTTCAAGCCAGTGTCACTGAAGATGTATCCTCCGTGGGGGTTGCCTGAGGCCATCGTGTAAAACGTCCAATACATGGTTAAATCCATCGGGAGAATGCGGGTCTACAAATCCACATGTGTGTTCAGAATGTAAATCTACTGGAAGAAGATACATAACTTTGGTCTCTGTCGGACATCTCTGCGCATCAGGCCACTGTCGAATAGACCGTAATGAGTTTCGCTGTGGCACCAATGCTGGAGTGAGACAGTGTCCGAAGATGTGGGGACGTAAGGCATCTCTGGAAAAGGAGACTAAGAGAAGTTGAAAGTTGTTCAGTTAGGGATCAAAACGGTAGACCGGGAGCACTGTGCCCTAAGTGGCGCAGTGTCCAACACAGAGCAGTGAATCTGCAAAGACGAATGGTCCCCGTCTACCTTTGATTTTTATCCTCAGCGCCCTTAGTGGTTGTTTTTCGGAGCTGACCATCACAACAGGAGTATGCCATGTAGAAGATTTCCCAATCCGGGATTTCGATGAAACTCAACCGTTGCATTTTTCGTTGAATTGGGCCTTGTAGCGGGACCGCATTACTTGGAAATCACTTATCCTAGAGGTGGCAGCCTAAAATAAGAACTATTTAATAAGGATCAGTTCAAGGGAGGGCCCTGCAGTTTCACCCCACTTTCCTTCCGTCTTTAAATTTTGCTCCGACATGAAAGGCGTGAACTCAGATAATTTATTGATTGGTGAAGGAGTAGTGCAGAAAATTATTTCTATGGACGTTCTGACACCTTCCAACGTTGACGTGGAGCTTAAGATTGAAGTGGTTGTCAAAATCCAACGTCGATCTATCATTGCTTCCCCGAAGCAGCATCCACAACAAGTCAGACAAATGAAATCGCAATTCCACCGTCAAGGCCCGTAAGCACCATGAGAGCGCATAGATTCACGTTACGATTTGGAAGATCAAATCGAATTACTTGTTTGTGCTGAAGTCCACTTCTGTGCTCGTCCAACTGAAGTGGGAGTTACAAGGATGTCAACAAACTTGTTTCGCAATGCTGCTATAGGAAGGGAGATATTGGAGATCCCCTTGAAGGTTGTCCGGAATAAATCCTTGCGTATCACCCGTTTTCACAAATCAATGAACGATTGCGATGAAATTTTGGCTCCGGTGAAACCCAGAAACGAGGTTGCATTCGACCACCCGTGTCCTAGTTTAAGCATTAGCAATCACGAGACCCACCATCAGCACTTTTAAGAACTGCAACGACAACCACCACCAACATGCGAGGAGACTGGAGCAGTTACTGCTTCTGATAATCAACTTTACATTCGGCAAGCCGCCACGTGGATACGGTAACGCTAGTTGCACAAAACCGACGAAATATGAGCACTCCGACGTGGGAATCTGCTGCTGGAAGTTACGCTCAACCACGTCGCACGACTAACCTGTAACACCGACAAAAGGACACGAGGAGCCAGAGGACTGCAGCTCACCAGGACATTTAGGACTAATTGAAAGGCAACTCCCAATTGTTTCACCCAACTGAAGCACGACATCAGACTACAAAGGATAAATGGGTGCCTCAACGATCCTCAACCAACGTGTGAGAAAAAGATCCTACCCGCAGTCTGCTGCCCAACGAGACCTTCCGTCGGTACCCCAAGCTCTGCTGCCACAGTTGCACTGCTAGGGACATTTCAAAATCGCCGATCTGCCTAAAAATCGTGATGAGCAGCACACAATAACCCATACGCTCAACAGCCCGACTGTTAAAAGCACCAATTTCACAGAACCCTCGACCGCAGACCTGCGTTGGATCCCCAGGCCAGTGAGATAAGACACCAAGGTCCTAAGAATGACACCCGAGAGTGGGAAACCGAAATCCACCCCCACATCTCCGATGACTTTGGTAGACCCTGACGCCGCGCAAAAACATTTGCACCATACCCCACAGATCTACGACTACAATGGGGAAGCGTTAAAACGCGCAACTCTCACAACAGACAGTCTGGGCTGCCCGCTGGGTTAACCGCAGTACCCATGAAGTTAAACTGACGTCCACAGGGTAGATCCCTCGTCGAAAAAAAAAACCAGAAAGCAATGAGGGATCAGCGAGGCGGCCAAGCGCCACCACCAATCGGGAGCGTTAGAGTAAAACTGGCGTACAGCCAGCAACTCACCCATTTGAACGTCATTACCCGCCAGTAGACTATCGGAACACGTAAGCGACTCCAGTGATTCTGAGCCGACTCGCCCAACAGTGAACCAATCCGAACGCAAGCGACCCGCCAACTCACGTGCAGGGACGGTAGCGGTGGTTGGGACAACCCCACTAGCGGGCCACCGCGGCCAAGTTAAGGCCACAGTCATCAGGAAACGACCCCAAAGCAGGCCGGGGCAGGCTTAACGACCTGATCTCTCGCCATTTATGCGTGAAACATCCCGCCAGCGGACAAGCGCCAATCCCAGCCTCGACGACCACGCACCAGACTTGTCTGCTCAATGCATGGCTTAAAAATCAACCGTCAGTAAAACGTCCCCTCCTAGTTATAACACAAAACTGGGAACAAGCCTCAGTAGGAGCACCTGCCACCCAAAACGCATTTCTAAGTACCCACAACCTCAGGCACAAGCAGCATGTCTTGAGAGGAAGGGCATTTATTTCGAGTTATGAATGCATGGGGCATAAAACGAAAGAATAGGAAAAAAACGCCACGATCACGTAAACGCCTAAGTCAATCACAACGATCATCGAGTTAATGCCGAGACAACGCCGAGCCCCGTCCTTTGGTACAGGCGAAATGACGAACGGTACTAGTAATGAACTACAAAGCGTGAGGAAAAATCGCTGCGCATTACTCCACACAAACGAAGTCCACTGACAAAATAGCAAGCCATTGTCTCATCGATTAAAAGTTAGGCAATCACTTCCTAAGTATGTTCACGAGATAAATAATGATCACGAGGTTGATCAGTCCACTCGACTTGCATGAGAAATCTGCAAGGACAAACGAAACGAATCAAGGGTGAAAGGCGGTAGTGTAACCGCGGATTATTTTATTGTGCACAAAAGGAACGCGCAACCCAACGGTCGAAGGTGAGAAGTAAAATGAGATGAGCAGAAGTCAGTGACGTTCAAATTCTCAACGGGCGCACGCACGCGCACAGTCACGACATTCACTTAACGACGAAGCATATACAAGTGCGTGCAGGACTGCATTTGGTTGCCACTGCTCCAGCTGAAATATCAAACGAAATGACGTATTTTACAAAAATGGCAAAATACCCGTCTCCTCAGCGAGCCTACGAAAGGCGGTCAGCAAGTAACTACTAAAATGCCTACACCTAATCCGACTTCTCCGAAATCAACTGGTGCCACACTCTGCATTCGATGCATGCATGAGTAATCGGACCACAGGATCGTTACGTCCGATTATGACGGCATAAACGAAACATTGATGAATATCAACCTGTTCAACTGCATGTGTCCCGACAGCACGTCTTGATTCAACCCATAAGGAAAAAAAGGTCCCCGAGTTCGCACTTAATCTCACCTTTAATTTCGCCCATAACCATACTGCGGCCCAGTCCGTGGTGGTGAACGATTCCCGCGACTTCCATAGTATCCATAGTCGTATGACGACGAACTGTAGTTCCCGCCACGATCGCTCTCGTGATAATCGCGAGAACTGTGAGGGAATGAAATAGTATAAGGAAGGAAATATGGTCACCTACGGATAGTCATAGCCCGAAGGAGCTCCGTAACTGCCGTAGTTATCGTAGTAATCACCAGACCTTGGAGCAGGTGGTGGTGGAGGCCCGCCAGACGGTTGACCATGATCACGGTACCGACCGTAGTCGCTATAGTTGCTTCCGTAGTTGTCAAAACGACTACGAGGCGGGGATGGCTTTCTTGGAAGGTCTCGAGGAGGTGGGACAGGCTCAGGGGCAGGACCCTGATAACCGCTACCATAAGGACCATCTCTAGAGCCAGAACGCAGGTTTCTATCGTAATCACGACCAGTATAACGCCCCTGAGGACCGCTGCTATAGCTATCATAACTCCTAGAGGGACCCCGTGGAGGATAAGGGCCGTAGCCATCGCCTCCCCACCCCGGCGGACCATCGTACCGACTATCGCGCATTGGCGGATAGCCACTGGGGCCACCCACTCCGCGAGGGCTTTCGCGCCCGAATGGACCTCTGGGAGGCCCGTTGAAACGATCATCTCGAAAATCGCGACGAGGACCACGGGTATTGAAACGACGCCGCATAGGACCGCCGCCAGTCCCCTTACCATGACTTAACTCGACGTTAATTTTGGCGCCATCGAATTCGGAGTTGTGAAGCTTAGAAATAGCCGCTTCGGCGTCTGCTTGACTCTCCATATGCTAAGACGTTAGAGAGAACGGATAAGGCCATACCACAAATGCATAATTATTCACGATGTCACATTCAGTAACCTTCCCATAGAGCTCAAAACGCTTCCTCAAATCTTGAGATTTGGAGCTCGGATTGAGATTACCCACAAAGATCTTAACCATCGTTACCTGCAACTGAAACTGGACGAGTGTAAACACAGGGTCTCGTCCGTTAAAACAAAGCCCGCAATAATACTAAAGTTCTTTTACTTTAGTTGAGTAGGATTTTGTTAAACTAGTGCTCCAGACCTTACAATAAAAATTTTTCGTACTTCTTCTAGCAATTTTTACTTGTGGCTTTTTAATACCACAATATTCAAAGTCGACCATATCAAAATTTCATTTACTTATTTAACAAAAGATAGCTGAGTAGTATTTTTATTATTAAACTGATTTTTTAGTTATTTATTCCAATCTTACATTCGGTACGGCTTAACTAAGTCAAATGCGGTGTTTAGGATTTTTGTTGTTTATTCCATCTGCCCCCCCAATGGAAGTTCTTTTATCAAGAAGACTGATTTGCTGAGGATATAGTAGACTGTTGGACAAGAGAATATACTGGTGGTGAAAGTTTTATGGAGCATCGAGACCTATATCCCCTTTATGGACTAGCGACGCTGCCGCGGTCGCGAAGTTTGTCCGAAGTGTAATACGATAGTGGTTTATCCCTCGGTATTGGTGAGGCGCCACTTTTACACATTGAATTAGCCCCCTTGTACCTCGCTGGGTGGGCTAGCCTTTTGGGCCATGCCAATAGCCCAGACACCTCTGCGCTGAATAAATGTTTTGTCCGAGTATTTTGTCTTCTTTCGTTTTCAGGGAGTCCTGGGACGCTACAGAAACAATTGCTTGCTACTTAAAAGGTGTACTCAAAGTATTGTACTTTGTGTAAGGTTTATTCCAACCACAAGGTGCCACTTAATCCCGAGCATAAGAGGAATGCATGAGAAATACCTTGTCAGTTCCTATTTCAAGGACCCCAGATACCATAGAGTTTGGTGTTACTGGTGCCCTTTGGATACCAATCCGCGCTGCAAAGGTTCTATAGAGGAGGTCCAAAGTGGCCCTTTGCCAAAAGTGTGAAATACACAGCCACACCGCAGCAGAATTTTCATACGGTCTCGCGAAATAGCATCTTCTACCTAATTCAAGCATCTTTTCCTTTTTGGAAAACTTGCTTATCAACTGTTATGCTACTGAAGAGAACTACATTTGCCAATGCTAATCACAGGTTGCTGCACTTTTCCTTCGAATAATTTTGCTACTGATGAAATTTTGCCACTAGTAAAGGTAATCCATGCTTCCCAAGTTGCCACTCCGTAATAATGAGCATCTAGTGTACCTTAGAAATGCAGCATTAAAACAGTTCCTTCAACTTATGCTACCTGAGTGGACATTTTTAATACAGTTTGATTACGTTACTCCCAATTTTACCACCATAGTTCCCACATCCCCAAAATGTGAGGTTTTCCTAAGCTTAATCACAGCTTCCGTGTAATAATATAATATTTGCTGCTTCAGAAGACAATATTGCCCGTTCTTTGGTGAAGGTCTACTATCCAAACTTAAAATACCTGCCCACCGATACTGTTGAGGAAATTGGAGCCCCCGACGCAGTTCTGATGCTAAAGGAAACGGCTATCCTCAATACAGAGCGCAGATTAATTTCGCTTACTCTCAAAAAATTAAAGGGAAAATGGGATGCCGGCATCTGAGAGGGTGCTTTAGATTCCGCGGAAATTCAATGCATTTCTCAGCGTCACTTTTAACGCCAAAAAAACGATAATTTTAATCAACGTTTTTTGATGATAGGGAGTGGGGATTATTACCACGCTCTCCCCAATAATGACTAAGGTGTTTCCAATTTGTTCGCAAAAGGCAGCATATGTCCTTGTAGGAGCAGAAAAGAGGAGGAAAAACTTCGCTACGAGGCTGCTCGCGCTTGTGCTACCTCGCCATGCAGCCTGCATCTCCGATACCAGATCGTTACTTTACCAATAGTCGATAATCGATATGCATTTAGCGCGAACTTTGCGACTGCACTCGTACAGTCAGGCGGTAAATGTGTGGGGGCAGGGAGGTAGATTCAAGAGGAGTAAATAAGAATAATTTTGACCGTTCAATGGACGATTTTCCCACCTCATACTTCACTCCAGCCGCGCATGACCTCCTGTTTGCCGTGTGCCGACAGCTGGAGATAAATGGGAAGCAAGATGAGGTCATTGCTGACCTGGGAGCCCGTGAGCCTGGGGATGAGTTGGCTCTCGTGGAGAGCCTTTTCAGCCCACGCACCGAGGAATCGAATAGGGCCAACCATGTGGTGGCTTTCTACAAGACCATTAGGTTTGAGCGCAAGCTCATTAAGATTCGAGTCACTCCGGGCACATACATCCTCCAGGCGAAAGGGCGTTCCGAGATGTCAGAGCATTCTAGCATCGCAACTGTGACCACAGAAACAAGCGCTACTTCAGAAGCCACATCTGGGAATTCTTCAACGTATATAGAGCTGATTGCAAAGGTAAAGGAACCGTTTCCGGACTTGGAAATGGATGAGGGAAATGTTGCGGGGGGAGCTACAAGGAAAGTGGGGAAGAACGCGGAGGAGGGGGAGGAGGAATGGGTTGAACGTGAGGAAGAAATGGAAGAGGAAGACGAGGAGGAAGAGGGAGAGGAGGAGGAAGGGATAGAAGAGAGGCAATACGATGCGTCACAGCACCTAGTAAGATTTCTCCTTACGCTACTTCTACACAAATGCAGTGAAGTCATCGTTTATGACTCATTCACTACCATCCAGAAATTGTTAGTGAGAAGGACCCTTCCTTTTCCACTTCCGTTTACAGATATTCGCTCGGACGTACACTCGGGTGAACCTGCATGCCACCTCCATTCCTCTTACCGACGAGGAGGCCAGGGAGATGGGCGTAGAGCGGTGTGTCTATGCTCTTCGCTGCCACGACCTCGAGACAACGTTTCCTGGTGCAGCGCTGCGTGATGACCTACCACCCATTACCAGCCTCTTCGAGACCGGCGTCATTCTCTTTCCCACTCTTGTCTGCTCCAGTGCTCTTGTTACCAAAGTGAGGCTCCCACCTTCTTTCTGTTTTCATATTAAAATTATTTCTAAACGCTTCGACCCTAAAGTTCTGACATCGGACAGTGTGGCTACATCAATCGTCCAGCTTTTTAATTCGCTTGCCTGGATTCCAGAAATTCGTGAAGATGAGCAATGCTACTAATGTTACTTTTTCGTAATGAAACTGATATAATTTCCTTTAATTCTCCCGGTTCCTACACCGCAGACATTGAAATGGTCTAAGAATGGCTAAAAAAATGTCTTGAAGTTAACGATGAAGCTAATTTGACCCTTCCCTTACCTCAACGTTAGCACAATGAGTCAATACGTACTTCTAAAAACAAAGAAAGTTCATCATACTTCTTTTTCGACTGCTCCTGTCAGATCTATCAGCCTCTACTGGCCTACTTGTCGCACAGAAACGCTAGCATGGGCCTTGACTTGGTGGACGACTCGAGCATCGATGACAACGCCTCTGATCCAACGCGGACAGCAGCGGAGCGTCTACTCTCAGGGGCTGCCAATGTCGGCACAACAGAAATCTCGGCGGGTGAGGTGGAAAAAGCGGCACAGGCGGCAACTGGAGAGGTTCAACGTCTACGTGATGAATTTGCGGTGAATCTGCACAAATTTCAGAGCGTTCTGGTTGAGACTGAGTCCGCTCTACATGGAGTCTTTCAGCTACCTCAGCCTGATTTCCCACTACCAACGATGCAACATTGTCTCGGTGGGCTACCACCCGAGGTCTTTGAGCCTTTTAGAAGTCTGGTCGGCAGATGGAGTAAGCTGCCAGTTTTCACCTATAGCCCCTTAATAAAGGGGGAAATCCGTGAGAGACTGACCTAGTTCCTCCAATCAGAGGCTAAAAATTGGTAGAGTGTTCATCGTCTAGACTTTATATATACTTGCAATCGAGCCGCGAGGGTAAACGCAATGGATAGGATGCAATGATACGATTTATAATTACTTGCCTCTCCTTTTTTGGACATCTACTTATAAATCCCTTGAAATTACATCTGCTTCTTAACGTGATTCTGTTATAGATTTCGAATTTGTACATATTTTACTCCTTCACCTTCAGTGTTGCCATTTTTGAGTGAATCACACTAAAGCGCTGACAGTCAACCCTTTTTTTCCACCCACGTGACGCAGATGCAATCATCGACAAGACAATCAACGACCTAAACAAGCCACGCTCAGTGACGGTGGGGCCTTTGGAGGAGGTAGAATACTGGCGGTATCGCTGCAAGACCCTTACCACAGTGAATGAGGCGCTGCGCAGCAAAGAAGTAGTGAAGGTGGTGGAGTGTTGGAACGCCCTCGCCAACCTCGATGCCACACACTTCGATCGCGTCACTGAGATCCGTATGCTGATGGCGGAAGCCAAGGATAATGCGAGGTGAAGTCCATACAACAGCCCATCTACTTACATCTGCTCATTTCTTTCTATTTGTTAATTATCATTTTCGTTGTTGACTGGCGGTTTTTACTGAAGGCTTTCAACCACAAATCACTGTGTAGGAACTTCATTTGGATGCAAGAGGAAGGAAACAAGTGCTCGCGAGTTCTGTGGATCGGCAGCATCTAGAGAGGGGCAATGTCCTTCACATGTACACTCTAGATACGTTTAAACCACTTTAGCAACCACTTCTTTTTAAAGTATCCATATTTGCTTTTCTGCAAATGTCTGAAGGTTCCTCCTCCTGGTCGAACGTCACTTCAAGAACGTGCAGTTCGCTCATGGTTTTAACATGGTGACTGACACAATACCTGCAATGCTGCAGTCCCTCCGCCTGATCTGGACCATCTCGAGGGGCTACAACAAGGACGAACGAATGGGTCCCCTGCTGCAGAAGATCGCTTGGGCTCTCTATGATCGCGTCATTCGTGTCATGCACATTCCCACTCTCTTCAGGTGCGAAACTACCATTAATGTTACCAAGCTAATTTAGGAACAACTTTAAGGAATCCCGTATTTACCCCTCTCTTCATCTCCCCACCCATCTCTCCATTTATTCTCCAATCTATTTAGACTATCTACTCATCCATTTGACCGCCAGTCAGTAATCATGTCTACCCGCATATCCATCAATTAGTCAAGCTATCTGACAACCTAAAAGAGAGTTTTATGAAAGGGTAACAGTGATAGCTAAGCTATGCTTAGCACCATCCCTGATACCCTATTTGCAATCATGCATGCTAACATCAAAACCCGTTAATCCAGCCACTCTGTGCAGAGCATCCTTCGCGAGACGGAAGCAGCAATGCGGATGCTCACCATGTTTGAGTCCACTTATATGCAGGAGCGCCAGCGCGTGGAGGCCACGTCACAAGACAATCGGTGGGAGTTTGATCGTAAGCTCCTCTTCGGCCGCATCCACTATGTCACACGCGTGCTGCAAGACATCCTTGATATGGCAAATGTAAGCACTGTCATGCTGTTATTACGGTATTCAATCCGCTCTCCCCTTATCCCTACATCCCTTTTTCGATCTGCAGTGCGCTAAGGAGTTCTACCGCATGTTTGGACCCGAGCTGAAGAATATAACGGGGGAAAGCAAAACTCTGACGGAGGTCCTGCGTTTGGTGGATAATCTATTCAATCCTCTCAAAAATCCGGTAAGTGATCAACCTCAGGGTGTCAAAATAACTTCTGAAAACTCAAGCAAGCGTAGACGTCTGAAAGGAAGTGCAAACGATATGAGTAGAACAGTGTAAAGTTACCTTAAATGTTATAATGCAGAACGTCAGTCAAATTGCAAGCTGTTTACATAGACAACCTCTGCATTTAAGCTTCATTTGCAGTGCTCACCGATGATTCTCCATGTAGTGAGTTGGCATGGTAGAATACTTATTCTTCCCAAAAGAGCGACATGAATCGGCTTCTTGCAATGTTGAAAGAAGCCTAAAACCGACAGAACGCATGCTATATAAATTGGATGCGTAGCTACTATGAATATCCTTCTTTCGCGATGCCGATCCATTCAACTCTCTTCCGCTGCGTGCATAGTAGAATCTGAAGTGCCCTTTCCTACCCCAAAATGAGAAGTTTTGGAACCGTCTGCAAGAGGAATTCGCCGACAAGGTGAGCCTGATTGACGCCAAGGCAAAGAACTTCATTAACGACTACTTCGCTCACATCCGCGGTGCAAACAACGCCTTTAATCTGCTTGAACGCTTCAAGGCGGTGAAGGCTCGTAGCGCCATTAGTTGCCTCTTGAAGGACAAGTATCGCGATGTCCTGCGTAGCTTGAGAGTGGAGGTAATAATCAACATGATTTCTCTTCCTTATTTAAGAAATCTTCTCTAAGTTTAAGCATTTTCGTTTTTGGAAAATGCTTAGGTGCAAAATGATACTCATTGCTCGAAATAGAGTTGGCTGCATATATATTATGTGTAGAAAGAATTCTATCAACTGCAGAGCTCCGAATCATACCCTGAAGGTGTAGTTAGGCATGCCAACGTTGAAGCATAGTCAGTCATTAATGTATAAAAGGTCTAGAAGGCTATTGTTAGATTCCATATCTCCTCCTAGCCCATGTTTTTATTACTACAGTTATCTCGAGTAGAGCGTCGCTTCATGGAAAAGAAGGACGACCCCCAGACCGGCCGTTACATCCCACCAGTATCGGGAGCCATCCGGTGGGCGCGTTTGACTCTAAGTACGGTGAAGTACAGCATTGTGCGTTTCCTGCACTCGCAGCCAGATCTCTTTGAGGAGGAGGGGGACAATGAGGCTGAGGCGGATGTGGAGGCAGAGGAGGAAATGAGCCAGAATCAGGGAGCAGGTGACCAGGCGGAACAGGAGGGAGGTGACGCTAAAGTGGGGAAGAAACGCGGTCGAAGTGTACGGCAGCAGTACATTGAGCTGGCACATAAATTACGGGATTTCGAAATGGACAAATTCAGGGCTTGGGAGAGCGACATTGTGGCCTCATTAAATGCCCGTCTTAGCCAATCCATCCTCTTCAAAAACCCCACTGTGCTGCCTTTCCATAAGGTAAAAAAATTGGATTCCTTAATGTGCAAAATGACATTAATTGTTACCAACTTTTGGCATTGACAGGCAGCAGTGAACATCAAACCGCCACCGACATGGTGGGCAGGAGCTTCACCTCCTGATCTGGAGCTGCCAGCAACATTTTCACCTCGCAGTTCAGCCACCTTCGATAACGGCACTTTTCTGCGTTCCACCATGGATCCTTTCAACCCGGCCTCCGCTACAGGCACCAATGTCGTTGATGTTAGTGAAGACATCGTTAAAAGTTATCCCACCTTCAGTCTTCAAAAGCCCAGCGTATATGAAGAGAATCTCGGATATGGTAAGCTTTTCAACAGCACATTTCAATGCGCTTCTTTTCTAGAGTCAGCTCCTGCTTACGAGGTGAACTTCGATTCCAACATATGGGCAGCGATTGCAGAGGCGGCTCGTTTAGAGATGTTAGGTATGCGTATTCCTGAAATGGCTAGGCTTCTCGGTCTGCGAGTGAGTTGACGATTTAATTAAGACTCTAATTGTTATAATTATTAGTAAACCCTCTTCCTCTCTCTCCCTGTCTTCCCTCCCCCACCCCCATAGCGCCGCTACTTCCAATTCCTCGTGCTGCGACTGCAGGACATTGTGGATCGTTACGAGGCGGTGCGGCGTAATTTATCCCCCATCAAGGCCGCGCTCCTGCAGCTCACTCTTCGGGACTTCATTGCTCACTTTGATCGTGGAGTTAACTATCTAAATTGGGATAGTTTAGCAATTGATGACTTTTTGGAGCTGGCTGAGAAGGTGAGGTACAGAGGGATCAAAACTTCTCAGTGTTTCCCATTTGGCAGAAAATCACTGTGGCTTAATCCTTGGTTTAAAAATGATAAACATTGGAGAATGGGACCGATTAACACCGTGTTATATAAAATAGTCTGTGCATAAATAAAAAAAACGGTAATAGAATTAATTAACTGTAAGGTGTTTGTTTGCACTTTTGGTATTTTTTTCCCCTTCGCTGAATAAGTTAAAATCATTTAAAATTGGAGACAATTTTTCGTCACAGCCTCAAAAATTGTAAAACCAATTCAAACCCAAGCACATTTGAAGCGTTCTCAATCTGTACATCTTTCACTTCTCTTTGCCCCTTTATATCCAGAAAATCCAATCACTGGAGACACAGTTTAAGGAGATAAATAGGTGCTTCGCCAGCCTGCAGCAGGCCTGTTGCAAGATAAAACGCATAAATCTCTTCAAGGAGCAGTCACGTGCAGTGCTAGTCTCTGCCAAGGAGTTTCTTGACTACGCCGAGGCGGCGCGCGAGAATGACATGGAGGAGTTGGCCACAGCTACACAGAACACCCTCGCCAATGCTCTGAGCAAGTTGGAGGAGGCACTGTTCGACACCAGCACTCATCGATGTGAACAAATGGCTTCTGTCTACTTGATGTTTGAGCAGGGATTGTTGGAAGCACTTGTCAATGTGAGTTTGTTCGATTATGTCATTTTCGAAGCTCCTGGCAGTTACGCATCCTTACTGGCTATCCTTCGGTCAGATAACTTGCAGCACCACTCCTAGGATCTTTATGATTCCATTTTCAGATGGTTCTAAGGAACGTCTGGCACTTCGTAGACCGGTTGGGTGGGATGAAACCGGTCTTTCACATTGATGTTCTCCTCACTAACTCCGACATCGTTCTCTATCCAACTACTGGGGACCTCTATAAGTGGATGATACAAACCATTCGAGGATGCACAGATAGGTTAGCCTTCCATATTCTCCCATATTAATTAATTTTAATGATTTTGTACGATTTAACCAATATGGCAACTTTAGATGGCTGTTCTGTGAAGCACCCAGCGCGTATTTCTTCTGTATCTTCTTCCTCTGGTATCCGAGAAAGGTGGGATCTATCCTAAGACAGGGCTGAGGCGATTTTGCATCATAATCTCTAATAATAGACTGTAATGCAACATTACATAGTTTTAATTTTATGATAGCCCAAATTTAATACCGATCGTACTGCAGGATCACAAATTTTGGGACCAAAGTAAGACTCGTCGTACAAGTTTCCACGGCCTTCTATATTAAGAGAATATGATGATTTAAGACCTTACTAGTGTCGTCTTCTCCCGCCATTCCCCTCTCCATCTCTTTCCGCCCCAGTACGCGTTTTTTCGTGCGATGGATGCGCGGAACCTGCCTTCCCTGTCCCTCCACACGAGGTGGTGACGGGGAGCGGGTGGTGAACATTAACTTCTCGCAGGAGCTGGAGCGCTGCCCTCAAGTCTACGAACCCGAGACCGTCTTCAATGAGAGGGTGGTCAAGCTTAACCGAATCGTCATTGATTTTCTGCGGCGCCTTGTGCTCTATACCATGCTCTGGCATCAGGACAAGGTGGGGTGTGCTCTTTGAAGAAGTGTGACGATTTGCTAAGATTGAAACTTCCATGTACCGGCTAGTGTGTTGGATAAGAAGGAAACCAACACTCATTCTTATACACAATTAGAACATCAGACGTCACTGAGAGAAGAAAGCTAGTCTAGACACTTCATAATTTATTTGTCCACTCACTCTTGCATCCTACAGATGAATGTGGTGGAGAAGTGGGTACATAAGAAGCCACGCACGACCCGAGATTTCGAAATCCGCATAATGACGCTGCAGAATTGGGCGGAGAGTCTCGCGCGGATTATTGGGCCACTGCGGGTGGTGCTAGCGGGCGCGTTGGGCCTGCGCATGGGCTCCTTCATGGACAGTGTATACACACACCTCAGCGACTGGCTGCGCATCTACCTGCGCTTTGTGTACGAAACCGCAGAGCAGAAGTATGCCAGTGTCATGAAAATCCTACTAGTGGGTCTTGTTTTTCTCTCCCTCTCTCCTGACCTAAATTGGATACTAAACCATGATGGGATTATGCTTGGAAACATATTTAGAATCAAATGAACAAGAAATAGGAAATATTTTCCGCTGTATGGATTTGAGGTGGAATCAAGCTAGAAGGGTGGACAAATAAATGATGAATAGATGAATGGATGGTCTAAGGATGTCAGATGGAAAGATAAATGAATAGATGAATGAAAAGGTGGATAAGTACATAATCGAATGCGTAAATAGGAGACCGAATCAGCGATTACCCATTATGCACATTCCATACCACAAATTGTAGGAGAAGCGCGGGGTGCTGAAGAAGAAGCCTGTCTCCTTGGTGCAAATGAAGCAGCTACTGAGCGTGATGGGCGAGTTGGAGGGTGGAATGTGCGAGATGGTGGACGAGTGCGCCAGCGATTTGTCCGAGCGCTACCGCCTCCTCCGCCAATATGGTGATCCCGAGTATCTCCAGCAGGTACCTAAGGAGCACTGGCACTCTCCCAACACACTGCGTCGTCGATGGAATGCCATCATCTTACGCGCCCTTGAAATGGCCGCCAACATCGCACCAATGAAAGCTCAGTTCGCTTTTGGGGTGCGCGATGTTGTGCAAGACTTCAAACGGAGGGTTATGCTCTTTGTTGAAGAGTAGGTTCTGGTTTTCAAACGGTTATTTTGGTCAGTTTCTCATCACTTGATTTATCTAACAGGGCTTTTCTGACTCGTTTTCGGTTAGCGTCTGAATGTCATTTTATGGCAACGGTCCATAGAAGTTTCATCTTGGTATTGGGATTGAGCGAACTCTTCTTCAATTCCTTACATAAGCCAAATTTATGCTCAACTATATCCTTCAGCTATAAACGGTCAGGTCCAGGAACCGAATCACGCAATCTCGACAACGGTTTAAAGAGTCTAGTCAAGTTCACCAAGCTTTCGGATAACCTCGAAACAGAGCGAGTAGATCTGCTTAGCAGTGAACGTCTCCTCGGACTACCAATCTCTGCCTATCCTGACTTGAAGACCATTCGCTCAGAGCTGCACAAGTTGAAACCCATCTATGAGCTCTACATCAATCAGAAGGTGAGCTTGATGTGTGGACGTTAAATCCTACTCTTTCTCTCCATCTAGACTGCACGCCAGGATTGGGCTTTAATGCTCTGGAAAGACGTCAATATCAAGTCGATTCAGACGGCTACCCAAGAATTCATCGACACCTTCAAGGCGGCACCCAAAAAGATTCGTTTGCTACCCTGTGCACGGAGGTTGTACACGGACTTGAAAAACTTCCAGGACTCACTTCTGTTGATTGTCTACTTAAAGGACGAGGCCCTTCGGGACAGGTCCGATTACAAAGCTCTGCTCTTGACCATCACTGTTAAACGTTTTATAAATATTGCATATACATCTTGGATAGGCACTGGAAGCAGTTAATGGAGAAGACTGGGATCAGTTTCGATATTGACCCACTGACATTTACCCTGGAGGGTGTCTTCGCGATGGAGCTGCATCACTACTCCGAAGTGATTGCGGTTATCGTGGCCAACGCTCAACGGGAACTTATTATTGAACAGGTGGGACAATTTACTCTTGAGTGCACAGTAGATTGGCTATAAATCTATTCCATGAGGCCCATTTGCTCCGTAGACAGAGGATAGGTTACACAATTAACTACAATTTTTACCACCGGTCAAGTAATTCTTAGCCATTTGAGCAAATATGAAGTGGATATTAAAGTATCATTCTGTAAAGAGGCACAATAGAAATGGGAGGGTATCCATCCCCTCCACACGAAGACAATCTCTGACGGAATATGATGACATTCAGGCAAATAAAGTTAACCCAATGGCTAAACTTTTGTGTTGCACTCGTAGAGCCTGGAGGAGATAAAGCGTATATGGAAGGAGATGAAGTTCACCCTTACCCTCTACACCAAGTGCAAGGGTCAGGCGTGTCCGGTGCTGGGAGGTCTGGATGATACCACCAAGGTGTTGGAGGACAACATGCTGAGTCTACAGTCGATTAGTGGGAGTCGCAATGCAGCGCCCTTCGTCACCACTGTGCGTCAGTGGGAGAAGGACCTAAGCACCATTAGTGATATCCTTGAGGTCAGTAGTGGAGTCGCCCACCACCACCACTTCGCTGCTGAAGGTGACAGAGTCTCTAACCTGCCTCTCGCTTCTACTTTAGAAATGGGTGATTGTGCAGCAGAAGTGGATGTACCTGGAAGTCATCTTTGTAGCTGGTGATATCGCCAATCAGTTACCAAATGAAGCAAAAAGGTTTCAGAAGTTGGATACCGCGTTTCGTAAGGTGCGTCAGTTGGGAGGAAAGGGATAATTTCAAACTTGGTTGAATCGCATCTTTTTGATAAACTAGTGCTATAGTCAAATCATGGGGACTTGAAAGAGTCAGAAATACACTGAGTTTAGACGCTTGCATTATTCTCTTACCGCTACAGCTAATGAAAGAGGCGATGGAGGTGCAGTTCGTCATGAAGTCCTGCCTCACTGATCGTAAGTTAGATACACTGTCAATGCTGCAGAATGAGCTGGAGTTCTGTCAAAAGGCGCTTAACGACTACCTGGATGCAAAGCGCAACGCCTTTCCGCGATTCTACTTCATCTCCGACGATGAGATGCTCTCCATTCTTGGTGGCAAGGAGGTTGGGTCTATTCAGGAGCACATTGTTAAGGTCAGTTGGAGAGCAAGCCAGCAGAGTTGCCACTGAGTATAGCATCAAATATTCAAATGCTCCACAATCCAGAGATTACAACGAGATAGGTTTTTCTTCAACGCTTTGTGTGTGTGACGAACTTGAAAGACACATGGACAGATGGTCGATTTTCTCTACCAACTGGTCACCCATTCAACAGTCTACACTATTGAAGAATGGGAAGAAAGCGGGTTAGTAAGGCTAATTTTTCTCTGTAATTTCTGCAGATGTTTGATAACATAAAAGGCTACCAGTACCGACAGGATGGCAAGAGCACGATAATTACAGCCATGGTGTCGTGCGAAGAGGAGGTGATGCCCTTCCATCGGCCAGTCTACGTGGTGGGTAAGGTGGAGGAGTGGCTTCTCACCCAAGAGTCCGAGATGCAGCGTTCCAACCGCCTCATTACCAAGCGTGCCCTCTTCTATTACTGCTACAAGAAATTGCGTGTCAATTGGATGCTTGATTTTCTCGTGAGTGGTTGATCGTTCTTTTAAAGCTTTTGCGATTCTCATCCGAAGACAAAGTCTAAATGTTGTTCGGCATAAACAACGAGAATGAAAGTAGACTAACCTCAATCCACAAATTACCCATGCAGTGACCGCATATCCTAGAATTAAAACGTACTTTCCACTTCTATTTCTCAGGGCATGGTCGTGCTAGCCGCCACCCAGATCTGGTTTACTTGGGAGACCGAGGACGTCTTCAAGCGCATGAAAGCGGGTCAACGTCGTGCTCTAAAAGACTTTAACCGCAAACTTCTTGACCAGATCTCCCAGATTGTCCGCATGGTGCGTGGCTACTTGGAGCCTAATGTAATGAAGAAGCTCGAAACCGTGCTCATTCTCGACGTACACGCCAAAGACATCATTGAAAGCTTCATCCGCGATAGCATCCACGCCGTTGAAGAATTTGAGTGGGAGTCCCAGTTGCGATTTTACTGGGTTCGCGACCTGGACAACCTGAAGGTGCGCCAGGTCTCTGCAGAGTTTGACTATGGATACGAGTACTTCGGCATGAATGGGAGGTTGGTCATCACGCCACTCACGGATCGTATCTACCTGACTTTGACTCAGGCGCTTTCGCTGTGTTTGGGAGGTGCGCCTGCAGGCCCCGCAGGCACGGGCAAGACGGAGAGTACGAAAGACTTGGCCAAGGCTATGGGACTCCTATGTGTGGTGACTAATTGTGGCGAGAGCATGGACTATAAGGTATTCACGTCCGTTACGCGATTCTGTAGTTTCACACCGCATTCACTCGAAGTTTATGCGAACAAAACGTACGAGTTCTAATTCTTTCACTGAAATTTATAAATACCGAAAAGGTATTGAAGACTCAATTATCTCGGTGTTCAAATTGACGCAAGTTGTGGTGGACATCAGTTGAGTTACACTACGTAGTTAAATATATAAGTAAACGAGAGCGATGCTAAAGGAACTCATGCGCGCTTATTTTAATTAACCATGTACTAAGTGGATGCGTCCATCGCAAAAGAAATCCTATTTATCCAGTGGATTTTTATTTACTCTTCCCGTTTGACGGTATCAGTCCTTTGGAAGGCTGATGATGGGTCTCTGCCGCGTGGGATGCTGGGGCTGTTTTGATGAGTTCAATCGCATTGAGGTCTCCGTCCTCTCCGTGGTCACCTCACAAATTCAGGCCATTCAGACTGCCCTTAAGGCCAAGGCCACCGTTTTTCAGGTTAGTCTATTCAGTCCCATCTAAAGAATAGTCCCTTCAGTTGTCCCTTACCATACCACTTCTTCCTAAAACCTTAAACTTAAGCTAATCCTTTTTGAACACCAAATTTACTTATCTCCTTTTCTTGATTATTTTAATCATTTAGGTTGTGCCACCCTCTAATGTTGCCTCAGAAAATTCAAAAGCAAATACATTTGAAATGTCTCAGTAATGCAAAGTGTATAGCAGTAGTAATTCACGGCTTTTCTTTCATAAGTCTGTTTTCTTTAGTATTTCTAATTAAGGCACATTGAACCTTAACTGAACAGATGAAAATGCTAACATTAGCATCTTGATTCAGCTGGAGGGCCAGGAGACGGTGCTGAACAGTCATATCGGCTATTTTATTACAATGAATCCAGGCTACGCGGGTCGCACGGAGCTGCCTGAGTCACTGAAGGCCCTCTTTCGTCCCGTCGTGGTCATTGTGCCCGACCTCGAGTACATTTGCGAGATTATGCTCTTCGCTCAGGGCTTTCTCACTGCGAGAGTAAGTCCGTTTTATCTTGTTTTTTTTTTTCATTCAGCTCATTTATTTGTTAAGCTTACCCATCCGGATAATGCAAGTCATCTGAAAAGGGAAAAATGACAATTTTTGTTGCAATTACAAATTACTTTTTGCCATCTCTTACACCATTCCATCGCTATATTAAGCATAGAATGTGCATCCCAAATAAAATAAGAGTAAGTTGATGCACAGTCGCGATTCACTTTAAACAGACATCAGCAACTCTGTCTACCTCCTTCTCTCCGCTGCAGGAATTAGCCAAAAAGCTGACCACCATGTACCGCCTGGCGAAGGAGCAATTGTCCCAGCAATACCACTACGACTTTGGGCTGCGAGCCCTCAAGTCGGTGCTCTCAATGGCGGGCGGAATAAGACGTGCCGATCCCGAGAATCGGGAGGACAAGCTACTAATGCGCGCACTGAAGGACACCAATCTGCCCAAGTTTGTGCATGAAGATGTGGCCCTCTTCATGGGTCTTGTACAGGATCTGTTCCCTGGAGTGGAACTCGTCCTTCAAAGCTCAGATCCCGACCTCATTTTCGCAGCTACCGCAATACTCAAGTTTCAGAGGTACTCTGTCATTGAGGAACAGGTAAGCTGCGTGATGAGGAAGGGGTACACCCGCTGTGGTGCAGGACAAGTTTGGTATTCAGTAAACTTCTGGCTTAATTTTGAGCGTGGATGTATCGCAGATGGTTCACCCCATTTGTTCGCATTACGAGGGTACATTATTATTAAACCTCCAGTTTTAACTAGTCGATTTTAGGGCGGCACTCATAAAATTCTATATAAATTGCAAATAACTCGTTTTGTTGACGATGTTCATCCTAAATAAGCCAATACAGTACTGCACTATATTAGGTTCTCTCCGGCTACAGCGACTGCGACTCGTCGTTCAGTTCTCAGCGTTGGGCCGTTAACAACGGAGCTCAAAAGGCCCTTGTCCGGTGGCAAAATTACCCGTTAAATGGAATAGACACTAATTTCGTGGATCAGTATACCTTTGACATTCTACCTGCATTACTACTCCGTCTGACAGTACTGTGAAGGAACGTAACCACCATTTAAGCCTACGCTCTAGTTAAATAGAGTTACACTTGACAGACCAATAATTCGGAGAACAAAACTACATTCATTCCAAAAACTTCCATTCATGACGACCCTTTCTCCTGGAGTTTTTGATAAGACCTCAGAATTTACCTGAGTCCGCGTGTTGACATTTGGCGCTGTTTCCCTTTAGCTACAAAAGGTAATCCATCTGCGAGACACGCTGGCAGTCCGTCATGCAGTTATGCTTGTCGGTCCAACACTGGGAGGAAAGACCACTGTACTTAGTACTCTGGCCAACGCCCAAAGAATGTGAGCAGCATGCCTTTTATCCTTTTACTTACGGAACTACTGGTAACCAGGTACTTTAATTAGGTGGAGGCGGCACGCTAACACGGTGATAAAATGTTTGTGAAGGGTTAGTTAACAGTTTTGCTATTATTCCAAACATTTCCTCCTTAATTTGAACCTACCTTCACATCAATAAATGTTGGCCGAAGAGAGTGAATGTGATTAGAGCTTGTCTGCATTAAGGAATGAGTGTGACTGCGTTCCAAGGCTGGTGAAACCTCCTGTAAAAGTTATTGCATGGCATTTGGAGTAGGTGTGGAACGAAGCGGTAAAGCTTGTTAATTGTAAGTGGATTGATCAACTTGATTCCGGTGGTGCATCGTTTTCAGGAAGTTCTTCCGTTCGCAATTAGAATAATGATGCACCTATCACTATTGTCTAAAAGTACTGGAGATTGACAAGTCAAGAACACCCTTTAATTATGCAAAGCCCAAAGTGAATAATGATGGGGATGATGGCAGCCTTTTCTTGGCATCAGGTAATCTGATGGAAAATGAGCATTTCGGAAATAAAGGTAGGATAGAAGTAAAGGTACCTAGGTGTATACAATTATTCGAAAATCCTCAGTCAGAAAATCCAGCTACTCGTATTTTGATTGAACCCCCTTAGAACTGTCATCCAACTTCATCGTTTCTGAGCTAGAATGTATTACCTCATGAAATCGTGCATGTTTGATTCTATAAATTTCTCCAAAAACTCTTTTTACCTGATAAATGGAAAAAAGCATCAAGAATCTACGCACAACTTGCCTTTATTTTCTGCATTTGTCCGAGTCGTAGGACGTGAGAAATTTAAAGCCTAATGTAATGGAACTCTGATGGTCCGCTATTCAGATAGGACCAGCCAAGTAGTGCCCCTCAACCAATGCTTTCTTTCAAGAATGGGTCTTCCCACAAAGCTGCACACCATTAATCCAAAAGACCGTTCCGTAAACGAGCTCTATGGCACCCTGGATCCCGCCAGTCGTGAGTGGACTGACGGTCTGCTTTCCATGATTTTCCGTCAAATCAACACACCCACGGAGCAGAACGAGCGACGCTACATCGTCTTCGATGGTGATGTGGATGCTCTTTGGATTGAGAACATGAACTCTGTGATGGATGACAATCGATTGCTTACTCTAGTCAACGGGGAGCGTATTAAGCTGCAGCCCTATTGTGCTCTCCTATTTGAGGTCGGGGATTTGAGGTTCGCTTCGCCTGCTACCGTCTCGCGTTGCGGTATGGTCTACGTGGACCCCAAAAATCTCAGTTATGAGGCCTATTGGAATGCCTGGGTAAGTGGGACGAGGACTGGGGTGGACGGCGATGGTTGATTACTCTCTGAAGTGTCTGAAGGGAAAGTGTCTAGTTAACGAAGGCATGAATGTGCATGAAAGGTTATGATCAAATGAAATATACGGAAGAATTGAGTGGGAATTTGCAAATCAGCTGCCGATTTAGCGGCAATATCTCGGTTAATTTTGTTGCCATTCATCCACCTTGGAAGATGAAAAGGAGCACGTTCAACCAATTGACCTAGAATAAATTTAAAGAACCGTGCATTTCTGACGAAATAGGCTTTTCAATCTAGATTATTTGATCAGATAAAAAAGACGAACTGATCAGCACAACTGAGAAAAGGTGCGGACTAGGAATTATAGGCGTAAATTTTTGCCTTTTTCGTCCATTTAGCTAATGAGCATTCACAACGAGAATATCAGTGGTGCCTTGGAATTCCTCTATAAGAAGTACGTTCCCCATCTGATGGATCTCATCTTCGAGGGCATTGTTCCAGCGGGTAGGTTCGGCGGACCCAAAACTCGCAGACAACGTCTCTCCACTGAATCAGGTGAGTGTAATGCATCTTCAATCCACTCACCGCTAATTGCAATATTTTTAGTAATTCTGTAACCATGGGTCTGCGTGCTTGTGTCCTAGCATGACTTCTGCGATGTACTAAGAGTGAAATGCACACTTATTGGGGTCACCAGATTTTACATTCATTCCCAATGCTTCCTCTAGCCAAAGAAGGTGCACTGGCTGGTGGTGCCGCGGCATCAGCAGGAGGTGGAGGCGGTGGCAGCGGAGCCGGTGGTGGAGGTGGCGAGGACTCCTCCAAAACCAAGAAGATCATCCACGTGGTTCCCACCAGCCAAATGCATACCATCATCCAGTTTTGTTCTTTACTTTCCGGTCAGCTGGACGAGGGCAGCGAACCGGGTAGCGACAATTGGGGAAAGTTGCCTAGTCTTGCCGAAGCTGATGGGCCCAAGTCAAAAGCATCTAAAGACGCGACGTTAGTGGCGGGGGCGCTTGAGGTGACGGAGGAGGGTGATGAAGTGACTGCAGCAGAGACGGAGACGTTGCGGACTGCAGCGGAGTCGTCAGTATACACCTTGGTTTCGGCGGGGACAGGCCTAGGAACCAGCGCAGAAGAAGCGGCTGTTGAGGCAGACCTAGCTGCGCCTCATGCAACGGAAATGCCGACTATCGGCCTCGACCCTGTTCTTACTTATGACAGCCCTGATGCTTTGGAAGCCGTTTTTCTATACTGCCTCTTCTGGGCCTTTGGCGCCCCGATGCATCTGCATGATCAAATCATCCTGGATGAGACTATCAAGGCGCTTTCTGGATTGGGAATGTATGATGAAGGGGAAGGAATGGGTTTCGTTGCTCCTGGTAAGTGGACCAATCACCTACAAAGAATGCATAAGAAATGTTCTCAATATAACGTGGCTGCATGGAAGTGGGAGGACTTCAGACACGTGACGACGTCTTCCCACTTCATAAGTCAACTAGTTCGACAAGACTTTTTGCTCATACTGCCGAAGTCCAAGGCAATATCAGCCCTTTCGGTTTCATTTGATTTACTATAGGTGTGATTCCATGTCACTCAGACCACCTCTTTGACTACATGTTCGATCTAAAGGAATTGCACTGGGTGGAATGGCGTCGTCTCGTCCCCAAGTACATTCACAATACAGCCGTGCCCTATCCCGAAATCGTTGTACCGACGGTTGAAACTGTCAAGCTTGAATGGATTCTCAAAGAAATGTTTCTGGTCAGTCCCTAGCTAACATTCATCTTCCATCTACCACACTCTACTATTCTTTCAGATAAATCGACCACTGATTATGGTTGGCGAAACTGGCACCAGCAAGACGGCGACCGCCCTGTCCACCATCCAATCCCTGAATCCCGATGTTACATGCTCTCTCGTAATCAATTTCTCCTCCCGCACCTCCTCCAAAAATGTTCTCCGTAGTCTCAACGCCAACGTTGAGAAACGTGCCAAAGGAGTGTACGGCCCTATGCCGGGCAAGAAGCTCATAGTCTTCATTGACGACCTTAACATGCCACAGGAAGACGAATACGGCACTCAACAGCCCATAGCGCTGATGCGAATGATCCTGGAGCATGGAGGGCTCTTCGAACAGGGCAAGGATTTAGTGTGGCGAGCGTTGAAGGACATGACCTATGTGGGTGGTATGGGTCCACCTGGTGGCGGACGCAGATCTTTAGATCCACGCTTTGTCTCTTTCTTCTCCATCTTTCATTGTCTACAGCCCTCGGCCGACAGTTTGAAGAAGATTTTTGGTAGCATACTCGATGGTCACTTCGCCATAGGATTCTCGAAGAAATTGCAGGCCATAATTGAAGACATTACGAGCATGAGCATTGAGACATACTTTGAGATTAAGAACCGCCTTCTCCCTACCCCAACAAAGTTTCATTACACTTTTAATCTGAGGGATATCTCGAGGGTGTTCCAGGGGATATGTCAGGCCACTCCAGGAAAATTCAAGGGGCCTAAAAAGGTCCTGCGACTGTGGCGACATGAGGTTCTACGATGTTTTCATGATCGTCTCATTAGCAATGTGGATCAGAACATCGTAGAGGTAGGTGTTGCGACTGTCAAAGCAGTTCCCACATGTAAACACACCTCACAGTAAACCCTTATGTATGGCCAAAAATACACGTTGGATACTTGTTTTACGACTCAGTTTCTACTTATTCTACGCCTCGCCTTTCCTTTTTACCCTCTTCTACAGGGAATCGTAGCAAGTATGCTAAGAAAGTACTTCGAGGCGGACATGGACTACGCTGCGATGGATCCGATCATCTTTGGAGAATACTGGGCTGCAGGCACCGAGGAGGAGGTGGTCTACTATGAGGACATGCAAGACTTCGATGTGTGCAAGGCCATCGCCGAGGAGGTGGGTTTCTTCTCGCATCTTCCTCCTTTTTTCATTTATTTTTCGCGAATTACAGTATGACTTTCACATCAAAGGGGTTCGTAGGGGCCTATTGCTATGGAAATGGAGCTAATACATTAGCGTTGCTCCTGATTTAGTAGCCTCAGTTAAAAGGAACCAATTACTCCACAAACTTTGGATCTCCTTCACCTTAAATACACCCAAGGAGCCCAAACATATACCTCTGAATAGTTCGCGGTAGATTCATCTTCACGTCTCCACCGGCTTATCTTTCACAGCTGCTGCTGGCTTATAACGAGCAGGTGGGTAACCTCAACCTGGTCCTATTCAACGACGCATTGAACCACTTGAGCATCGTGCACCGGATCCTACGACTGCAAGGCAGTCACGCCCTCCTCGTGGGAGTCTCAGGCTCTGGCAAGAAAGCACTTGCCAAGTTGGCTGCATTCATCGCGGGCCTACGTACTTTTGAGATCAGTTTGAGCAATGCCTACGGCGAGCCGGAGCTCTGCGAGGACATCAAGCGGTTATACATGCAGATGGCGGAGAATACAGACCAATATACATTCATATTTACGGACACACACGTTCGTAACGAAGGTGGGCTTGCTCTTTCTCAGATATTTGTTCTCTCTCTCTCTCTCTCAAACCTGGCATTGATCGACTAAAGTGTATGAATTCTAAAAATTGCATAAATTTTGTCTCTCCTTAGGGTTCCTGGAGTTCGTGAACAACATCCTCACCACGGGCTGCCTGGTGTCGCTCTTCTCAGAAGAAGACAAGGATGGCGTTATAAACAATGTGTGGCCCAAGGCGGAGGCGGCGCTGAAAGCCATAGGGGGCTCCACGGCCACTGTCACCAAGGAGACGGTGTGGAAGTGGTTCGCCCGTGACTGCACCTCCCGCCTCCACATGACCCTTTGCATGAGCCCCGTGGGAGACGATCTGCGCACGCGGTGTCGCAATTTCCCCGGCATCGTTAACTGCACCACCATAGATTGGTTCTTCCCATGGCCAGAGCAGGCACTCTATGCTGTTGCCTGTAGCCTCATTGATCCTAAGGTCTGTTCTGGTGGATAATCGATCTTGACTTCTGTTCCATTCGTTTCTGTTGAGTTTGAGCCTGAATTCATCAATCTCACTGACCTCAAGGTTTTCCCCAGTTACCCGTCGAACTCATCCGTTCTGGCTCGCTTTTCTTCTATTATAATCTAATTTATTTCAAGGTTGGAAGGGCAGTGAGAGTTGCCGGATCATTCACCGCACACTGCGATGACCGATTTCGTGGAACATTGTTGACATAGCCCTAATGTCACTTCTTCATACGCAACCTTACGGATATAGGCTTTTTAATAAACCTTTCTCCGTTATTTAACTCAACCTCCTTGCTATCCATTTTCATCACTTCCGTGATTTGTAGCCACTCCTTCCGACTAAATTAAAACGAGTCTATTTGAATATTTTACTGAAATTTGTTTTTAGGACCAAATTGTGCCACGCAGACACTGGGAGGCGGTGATAGTGAACATCGTTAACATCCACATCTCCGTGAAGGAGGCCTCGGCAGAGTTCAAGCAGCAGCTGCGACGCGATAACTACGTCACGGCCACAAATTACATCGGTTTCATTGAGGGCTACAAGAAGCTCCTCAGAGAGAAAACAGAGTAGGTACCTTTGAAAGAGAAACATAGGTGATCGAAACTGGTTTTCACCTGTTAATCGGTATTTTTTATTTAGTTGGTGCGTGATTTTACTTGTGCTCATCTTATTGGTTCGATGCTTGGAAATGCTGGTCCGCATAGGACTTTGGACAGTTTGATATAATTTAATTCTGATGTTAACTGCTAATCTTCAGGTGGCTGATTTGTATGCGCTTCTATAAAACCTCCTATTCGTAGTCAATCGGAGACTATGGATATCTCCGGACGACAAGAAAGGAGAATTTTCCCACTTTAAAACACTCTTTTATTGTTTAAAATCTAACAAAACTGAACACTTGTGTTTGTATTTGCCCTAACAACATTGGAAATTTTGATTTAAATGGATTTTGGAGATAGAGAGATTGATTAAGCGGGCAGGAGAGGGTTAGTTTCATTCCCCAACACTTGCTCCTAATGACTTGATTGCAGAGAAAACGAAGCAAGTCAGGACCGATTGAAGGTGGGTTTAGAGAAGTTGAAGGAGACAGCCAAACAAATCGACGAGTTGAACACGAAGATGGCAATCCAGAAGGTGGTACTGGAAGAGAAGACGCTGTCATGCGAGGAGCTGATGAAGGAGATTGAGGAGTCCACTAACGCCGCCACTATCAAAAAGACCGAGGCGCAGGCCAAATCTATTGAAGTTGCGGCACAGCAGAAAGTCATCACCAAGGAGAAGGTCTGTCTACTTGTCTGTCTATTCACCAATCCATCTGTCCATTAACCCATCAAGTTATCCCTTTAGCTATCGACCCAGTTTATCCAGCTCTGACTGTTAGTATCTCCTTTTGTCTGTCTGGTTGACTTTCGTCGCCTCATTACCTGTCTGGTCAGTAAACTCTGCCTCCACGATCAAGTTCCGCTGCCTAGCTGATTGCCATTTGGCTCGTCTGTTTCATCTCGCCTGACATGTGTATTTGGAAGGGTTTTTAGGGGAATGGTGACCCATCATTTGTGTTTTCTAAGCTTCAATAAAGTACTTAGGTTTCTTCTTTGCTCTCCCATTGCATTTGGTCTGCTTAAGCTGCTTATGGTAACTATCTTAAAGGAGTTATGCGCCTTACCAATTAAGGGGATTTCTAACTGTTCACGCATCTACTTACCTATTCAACCGTTCAGCTATCTCTCTCTATGCCTTTTGTCCCATTATCCGCTTACCAACCTCTTTGCAGGTCTGCATATGCCTTTGCGGCTCCCGTTACCTCTCTCCCACTCTCTCACTGAAAGATTAATGTTTACCTCACCGCTATTTATATCAGTCTTTGGTTGTTCGGATTGTGTTAAAATTCATGAGTACTTCGGTACCAGGTCTGTGGACTTTCTGTACATTCATTTAAAAGAAAATTTTTGAAACGATCCACTTTTAGCTTCAGCAAGTCCTTCTTGGCTGAGATCCTTCACCCACTCCTCACAAATGTCGCTAGAGCTCTTAGTCTAATACGTTCCCCGGAGATTCTACACACCCAGTGCTATTACCTCTTTCTGTTCACTTACTTTTCCCACTTTTTATTATAATACTAGTCAGTAACCGTCTTCTAACTCCGCATTGTTCCACGATTTCTCTATTCATATCCTTAGTTATCTACGCATCTTTATTCTTTTGAACCAATGTCTAGGCGTTTGAAGCGAGACTGAAAATTTCGTATACCTCTAAAATGATGAAAAATAAGCCATCAAAAGTGTCACTTTTACTCGCCTTTTCCCTAAGGGCGAAGCTGAGGATGCCTTAGCCGAGGCCTTACCAGCACTGGAAGCTGCAAAAAGGGCGCTTGACGAGTTGGAAAAAGCTGATGTCACCGAATTTCGCGCCTTTGCAACTCCACCTAAACCCGTGAGTTACTGTTAACGCCGTAACTACCCAAATCTAAGCTTTGAAAAATGTAATGTTATTTTCATATCTTAGAGGTCATTGCTAATTTATACCTGGCTCGTACGTAGAGTGAAATCAACCTCTAGTGAGGTAGTTTTATGGATGATAGTCCAGCGCTATGTTGTACGTTGCACACTGCATCACATGTTTTAAACTGGTTATATCTACGCTGCATTGGCAAACTGTGCCGCTGATTGCAAGTAAATCGAAGTAATTCCCTCTCTTTAACTCCAATCCTTAATCATTCACAGGTTCAGCTTGTGGGTGAGTGTCTATGCCACGTAATGTCAGCGGCAGAGATAAGCTGGAAGGCGGCTCGTGGTCTCATGGCAGACGCCAATTTCATTGGTACTCTACAGACCATGGACTGTGAGGCGATTCCTCAAAGGAACATCAACGCCATCAAAGGTTTGCCTCTTCTCCAATCATCATTTTTCCCAACCCAACTGTCACGTTCTTTGTGGTTTTGCAAAACTGCGGTAGGTTGACTTAAAAAGCAGACCATGGTGGTGGATTGCCGACGCTACTAATATTTGTGTCCCATTTCACATTCCTTCGAAATTGTAGTTGTGATTACTTTCAACTATTTGCGTTTAAACCACTACCATTTGCATCCAATGCAGTCTAGCCCCAGCATCATACTTCATTAAATAAAGAAACTTACTGTTGGGAATATCTACGACTCCAGAAAACCTTTGGCCATTGCGAAACCTGCCTCGGGCGCCATATTCTACAGCCAGCACATACCTCAGGCTAATCGGTTTTCTTTGAAACAGTTGCCTAGACGCAAAACCACTTAGCACCACCTATACTACAAAGCAGCATCTCATCAACGCATTCTGTCTTACTTCCTTCCTTTTATTGTATTGTCATTTTGTTGCTAATGCAAACAGCTACCTGGTTCACTCCCATTTTCGCAGAACGTGTAAAGGTGCGTTTCTTTTTTACCTTTAGTTCACTTTCCATGCTAATGCCGTGAATACTTACCTTAAGAGCAACTTGGACTCGACCAAACCCGGTCTTGTTTCATTGTTATCCTCGATGCAAAACTCAACCTTGGAACAACTTACAAAATCCGATTTAACTAGCCGCAGCAGATGTACTTCATATTTAGCATCTCTGTACAGAGTCCAATCGGCGCAATCAGGATCATTCTTTTTTGGAATGCAGTATTTAGTTTACTCCCCCCAGACACTGTTGAGCTATTGTTTAGGTGTAGAAGGCCTGAGAGACGAGTACGGTAGGTGACACAAACAAAGTTGGAGAGCTGAATTGATGGGGATAGAAAAGGTTTGCATGTTGGCCACAAACATTGGTAATAACTGAAAATGTCGACCGCTTCCTTAATCAGATCTCCTCTCCAAGCGTGGTGTTGGCTACGAGGAGGTGCGTGCAGCCAGCAAGGCGGGTGGTGGCTTCTTCAAGTTCATCCTCTCTGTGGTGAGTTTTTACGAGGTGGCAAAGATGGTTCGCCCCAAACGGGAGCGCGTGAGGGCGCTGGAGCGCGAGTTGGCCAAAGCAGTGCGCGAATTGCAGATGTTGACGGACCAAGTAAATCAACTGGAGGATATGCTGCTTAACTTGCGACGCCAGTTCGCTGAGGCACAAAACGAGATGGACCGACTGCGGAATGAGATGAACATTATGCTTCGGCAGCTATTGGCTGCCGAGAAACTGACTACGGGGTTGGCATCGGAGAAGATTCGGTAGGTGCTTTGTTTTTGCGCGTTGCCGAACCAATTAATACGAGCTCCCATCAGTCGTACTGTTAATCGGATCTATTCAGTGCCTGAATCGACAAGGCTTATCTTCCTTGATTAGGTGGATAGAGACAGTTGCAGCCCTCCAACATGGCAAAAAGAAGCTGATGGGTCACTGTCTCCTGGCCTCAGCTTTCCTCAATTACCTCGGTCCCTTCACTCAGGAGTTCCGAACACACCTGCTGTATAAAGAGTGGTTCGACAATCTTGTCATTGATGATGTACAGCTCCTCTTCATCGTTTGCGTCTTTACTTTGGTCCTTCTTCCTTCTTAATACTCTATTTCGTTAATTTTTTCCACAGATCCCTATGACAGAGGGCTTCAAGGTGGATGAGCTGCTGACCACCGAGGTGGAGATCTCCATATGGAATTCGCAGGGCCTGCCGCCTGATGAGTTGAGCATTCAGAATGCTATTCTTACTATAAAAGGACCCAAAACGCCCGTGTGCATTGACCCTCAAGGGCAGGCCACCAATTGGCTTCGTGTGATGGAACACAACCCCCGAGATGAGACCCGCTCTATCAAGGTGGGTTGAATTTCTCTTTTCGGCTGGTGTATTGGGATAGTGCAGGATTAAGGAATTTCTGTCAAATTAAAGAATTCTAGTCTGTCTGAACAGGTGAATGTTATTCTGAAAGGTGTCAAACACTGCTGACCCAATTCTATTCCACTGCCTCTTTAAGCAGGTTCTCAATGCGAGACGCACTTTCTCGTTGCAGATTACCACACTGAACGACCCAATGTTTTTGCGTACTTTGGAGAACTGCATCAAATTTGGAGTTGCAATTATGTTCACTTCGATTGAGGAGAGCATCGACCCCGTCCTGAACAACATCCTAAGTCGGAATATTAGAAGTACTTGCGTTGTCATCATAGATTTTACAACCGATTCTCGTGAACAGAGTGATATTTGGATAATTTTTGTTCCTCCTCTCGCCTCCAGAGGACCGAGGCAGGGAGGTAGTGGTACTGGGCGACCGGGAGGTGGAATACGACCAGGGCTTCCGTCTTTACATGACCACAAAGCTACCCAACCCGCGCTTCTCTGCAAACCTCTTCAGCCACGCCTGTATCATCAACTATACTGTCACACCCACTGGTCTTGAGGGTCAACTGCTCTCTGCCCTGGTGAAGTACGAGCAGAAGGAGTTGGAGGACAAACGGGAGTACCTCATCAAAGCAACGAGGTAAGGCTTTTCCATTTTTCCTTACTAAAGAATGAAATTTGGAGACCCAGAGAATGAATGCGAGCAATTGCTTTCCCTACATTCGATACTTCAGTACCATTCGGCTCTGGAGCGTTTTTCTAGATGGGAGAGTTTTGGAAGATATCTTGGTCTATTGTCTTAATTATGCATCATGAAGTGGGTTAAGTTTGTGCTTGAAGATTTAGAAGACCCCATTCAGCCCAATTTCGATTACAGTTCTTGGTTTAATATCCGGAAGCCTAAAGAACGAGATGGAGCAATCTCTCCCCCATTCTTACAACGTTTTCAGAATGATTGAAGCATCGGCTCTTCAGTATTTTGATAGCCTCTCTATCCTATGTTAGACTAATCTGTATTGATACATGCTTCACCTCATTTAAACCGTTCTACTCCTGCTATTAAAGCCGATCGAACCACTGACCTTTCTCCTGCCCTCTTTGCAGCGAGAACAAGCGTATATTGAAGGAGTTGGAGGATCGCCTGCTGCTAGAACTGGCTACCCAAACAGGCAATATCCTCGATAACTGGGAATTGATCGAGACGCTGGAGAAGACGAAAGCCAAGGCTGTGGAGGTGGGCAGAGCCCTCGAACAGACCGCCGCTATCTCCATTGACGTGGATAGGCAGCGCAATGCCTACCGCCCCGCTGCTCGGTACTGACTCACTACTCACATTGTAGAATCCTGGAAACCTTGACCGCGATACTGATTTTGTAGATATTTTCTAGCAAAACTCAGTAATGTATTTTGTTGACCTTTTTTCAGTCGTGGAGCAATACTCTTCTTCATAATCGCTGATCTGGCGATGGTGGATCCCATGTATCAGTTCTCTCTCTCCGCCTTTCTGCAGGTCTTTCTCAAGTCCCTCAAACGCGCCATGCCAAATAGTTCGCTGCCTCGAAGACTGGAGAATATCAAGTCCACTCTAACCTTTCTTGTCTTCTCCTATGGCTGTACTGGTGAGTTTCATGCAACCTACTCTCCCATTGACCTACCAATCAGAGTAATTATAACATCTCTGTGGAAGCTTTGAGCATATCAAACATGCCTTTTCATTTACAAGTTGATACATCCATTTATTCCTGACCCACTCATCTCATATTCGTCCACTCGTCCATCAGACATCTGTCAATTCGTTTATGGTGTCTCTTCATCATCAAGCCACCCATTTTCACTCCACCCGTCCATTTGTCACATACTCAGTCATAAGTCTATTCTAAATTGATTCGTTCCAGCTCCATTATTCTTCCATTTTTCACCCACTGAAATCAGAGTTACCCGTGGTGTAGATAAAAAAACAATAGATCCTGAATTGGGTGAACTTTTGTGAAGCAGTGTGTTTTATTTCATCCACTCACAAATCCACCTACACAATCACTCATTCCAGACTCATCAAGCCATTCAACCATCCATCTGCAATCAATCCGGCCATCCAATTCAGATTCACCCATCCACTTAAACGCTAAATTAATGCTTTATTTGGCCATGTGGATTAGCAACTACGTCTCTTTTTCAACCTCGGCGTCATTTTAGCCATATTTGAGGAGCACAAACTTCTCCTCTCCTTCCAATTGGCCATCCGTTTACAGCAGGATGCAAGAAAGCTCCGCCCAAAGGAGCTAAACTACTTCATTCGTGGCAATCTCTGTCTGACAGACCAGTACTTTCCCCCACCGCACCCATGGATCCCGTTGGCTACATGGCGGGATTGTCTCTATTTGGCCACCTTTCTGCCGAAGAAGTTTGGACAGCTGCCTGAGAGTGTGGTCAAGCATCCAGAGGTGTGGAAAGAGGTGAGTAGATACTTAAAACCTATCCTTTAATTTTAACCTCCCGAGTTAGACCAGCCATTAGATACTAATAAGAGGCACGGTAATTTGACTACATTACTGCTGCAGGCATCTAGCAAAAATTATTATAAGATCTGTTTGAATTTGTTCTACTAAGTAACCTATGTTAAAAGATTCGAAAAATGGGTAGATGCTCATGAACAGTATATGCCGGGGTAGTGGTACGAATCAGAGGCGCCGGAAATAGAGAGACTACCGGGGCGGTATGACAAACTGACGCAGTTTTCGCGCCTTTGTCTGGTGCGCACGTGGCGCATTGACAGAGTGCCCGCTGCAATCTCGCTTTTTATCAACGCCACAATGGGCCACAGCTACGTGGCGCCGCCAATGACCCTGCTCAACGAGGTCCTCGTCTCCACCTCACCTACAATACCCATCGTGCTCATCGTCAAGCCCGGGTCCGACCCACCCGCTGCGCTCACCACTCTGGCGCTCAGTGTCGACTTTGGAGTGAACAGGATAAAGTATCTGTCGCTGGGACAGGGTCAAGAGGCGGTAAGAACGATATTTGGACTTCGATGTATTGGAGAGATAGACAAATTTACCGCCTAATGTCGTGCGATACCATCTACTAGCATGGCTATACTTTGGCAGAGCTATTATTTCCAGATTCCTTAACTCGGAATCCGAGCATCAAGTAATAACATTTATTTGATCTGAACTAGGCCGCAGAAAGCCTCTTCTCTAGTTGCTTGGCAAGGGGTCACTGGCTGGTGTTTCAAAATTGCCATCTCCTACTCTCCTACACCTCTAAGCTGGAGAAGATGCTAGAAAGTGCGGTGAATCCGCATCCCGACTTCCGTCTTTGGCTTACCACAGAGCCTGTCACCACCTTTCCTGTCGGCCTGCTCCAAATCGCCTACAAGGTTGGTGCTCCCTTTCTCTCGATAAGCGTGATTTAATGCTCAACTTCCTCCACTTCACAGGTTGTAATGGAACCACCGAGTGGACTGCGTCAAAATATTATGGGTTCATTGAACAAGCTCGACGAAACCCAATTTGTGGCCTCCACACACCCCAAGTACCGCTCCATTATGTTTGTTCTGATCTTCCTCCACGGAATTCTGCAGGAGCGTCGACGCTACGGGAAACTTGGCTGGAATGTCCCATACGATTTCGCTGATGCTGACCTCCTGGTCTCTCTACTCATCCTGCAGAAATCTCTCAATGAAACCCAAGAGGGTGATGCGATCAAGTGGCCAAGCATTAAGTACCTGATTGGCGAGGTAACTAGCCTCTTGATGAGGGCACGAGTTATATTTCTGCCTAGGTGATGTACGGGGGACGGACTATTGACAACTATGACAGGCGCGTATTGAAGACCTACATGGACGAGTACTTTGGCGACTTCCTATTCGACGAGTTCCAGCCTTTCCACTTCTACTGTGATAACAATGTGGATTATATGATTCCCGGTGAACCGGATGGAACGACTGATTACCGCGAAAATTTCTTAAGTGAGTTCTTTCGATTTTTTTGGACCAAGTTAGCCAGTGTCATGCTGCAAAACCTTGTATTGTGCGTCATCACGGGACTTGTGAAGTTTGTCAACATTTCTCCCCTTTTGCACAAAGAAATTTGTGCCTGTTTTTGAAGGAATTGCTGGGTGAGAGGAAGTTTTTCTGTACTCCGACATGACTTGCCTCTTTTCGTCTTTAACTTTTCTACGGTGGATGAAGGAGGATTGATGGATGGATGGGTGCGGGATGGAGGAACGTTGCGGTGTAGATGCAGGGATAGCTAATCGTCGTAAAGCGACGAAAATAATTACAAAATGACCTTAGCAGACTTCAGTGGGCTTGACTGGTGTCAGGGCTGCAATAGTTGTAGCACTCCTGCGTCATGAGTGGTGCCATGATATTCCTACTCTTGTAATCTATCTACTTTCTCCTTTCTCTGCATCACCTGTTCATTCGTTTATTTGTCCTCACACTTGACTCACCATCGGCTACTCTCTTTCTACCTGATTGGCTCCCTGTGTGCCTGCTGATGATGACGGCATGTTGCTTCTTCTGTTTTTCACCGTCTCCCTTCACTACTTTCCGTTACTTCAGCTCTACGAGAGGTGAGGTGAAGTGTTAGCTGCCCTCGCCGTTACCGTTGATGCTCCCATAACTGAAGCTATTTCTGTAGCTATAGTAATTGGTGTTTAGTCTGTTGCGCGTTTTGAGGGTTCTGGCGCTGTTTAGCGGTGATGGCGGAGACGCTCCTCAGAACTGAAGCGTCAAAAAAAGTACGGAGAGGATGGGAATTCATTAATACGCTCATTTTTCCTCATAGTAACCTTGGATGTGTGGCCTGTGCAACAAAGGCCCAACGTCTTCGGTCTGCACCCCAACACTGCAATCGGATACGCGGTGAGATTTGCACGTAGCCTTTGGACGAACCTGCAGAACCTTCTGCCGGAAACGGACAACGTCACAGGCATTCCGGATGGTGCTGCGCTCTCGCGAGCTGCTCTGGATGTAAGTGAACTACTCAAGGAGATGGAGAAGACTGCTAATGAGGCGGCGAAAGCAGCAGAGGAACAGGAAACAGCGGAGGTGGAGGAGGGCAGGGAGAAGCTACCACCACCGCCACCTCTCAGAAAGAAGTGGAAGCGAAAGAGGAAAACCAAGCAAATGAGCACTCCACCTTTGGGGTCAGGTGTGTTGCTATTTGGAGGAGAAGCTGAAGAGGCGGAAGAAGAGGAAGGGGAAGAAGGAGGAGAGGAAGTAGAGGAAAGAGCTGAGGGGGTGGGAATGGAGGAAGAGGAAGAAAAGTGGGATTTAGATGAGGAGGGTTTAGAAACTGAGGAGTCTTCAATGACCACACCGGAGGATGACAGTGATGATGTGAGTTTTTGTTCCACCTTCAAATGATTTCTGCATGACAGGACATCAAATAAATTACCTTTTTTGTTTCAACAATTCCTGATTCTTATTGATCAAGGTATAACATGATGCTCCTGATGCCTTTCATTCCCTTCATCAACGTTTAATAGCTTGAAGTCGCGCAGAAGTAGGGTCAGCAGGTCAAGAGGTGAAAAATTCTAGCTGCGATTATCTTTAATATGTTCAGGTTTAGCGAAGAAGTGCTGTCATCTAACGTTGTCATTTATTTTTCACTTCTTCCTGTCACAGTAAAACGATTTGACTGTAGCGGCAGATGTCAAAGACTTATCCGATCCCACCTTTTCGTGGCTGCCCTTAGAACACCACTGTTAACGAGGAGGAAGAACTAGCACCAGGAGTAGAGAAGAAGGCGAAGTCCGCCTCAGCGACGACCACGACCATGGGTGCAGGAATGCTGGCGAAAGACGCTGTGCTAGATGCAATGGCCACGAGTATTCTGTCCCGTCTTCCATCGCCCTTCGACATGATTGGCCTGCGCAAGAAGCACATGGTGGGAGAGATATCGCCCACCCTCGTGGTGCTCATTCAGGAGGTAGATCGCTTCAACCTCATCCTACAGGAAATGCGCTCATCGCTGCGAGAACTAAGACGTGCAATTGCTGGCGAGGTGGGGATGTCAACAGAATTGGACGATGTGGCTGCCTGCCTGGGGAGGGGTAGCATTCCCGCCTCCTGGAGGAGACTTGTACCAGCAACAGAGAAGAGTCTTGCAGACTGGTTGCAACAACTGCTACAAAGACATGAACAGTATAAGAATTGGGTGGGTTATCGATGGTGAAAATATGTGTTTCTTGGAGGACTTAATTTTTTAACTTCTACAATTTGGCAAGTGTGTGAGTGAATCTGAGCTGGGCAGGTCGATGCAGTGATGAATGCCTGAGGGACAATTTAGGTGTCTAGATCCAGGATAGATGAAGTGCCAAATGCATACCACCGTGCACCCTGACGGAGTGTTTTGCCACTTCAGTCTAACGGGGGAAGGAGCGAGCCCCCTGTGATGTGGTTATCAGGCCTCCACCTTCCCCAGTCCTACCTCACGGCGCTGGTGCAAAAGGCCTGCCGGAAGAATGGATGGGCCTTGGACAAGTGCACCATGTCCACCTCCGTCACCGACATCCTCCCTGCCGATACCTCCACCATTCTCATGGCACCTGACGTCGGTTGCAATGTGGTTGGCCTGTACCTCGAAGGATCTGGCTGGAGTGTCGAGGTTAGTTTACCTCGTGTCCAGCTTCTCCTGCTGCATAGAGTGCGAATCTGGACTTGTCGCTAGGAAACTTGGTAGACTGTGGAACTTCTTGTAACCTCAAGCTATTCTGTTTCTTTTCTCTGGTTTGTTTTGATGCAATCACTTACTTGCTTTTGACGGCACTTAAATTAAGTTGATTTCGGGGTCCTATTTTAGGAGCACAGCATGGTCCATCAGTCACCGCGAATGCTGATCCAGGAGTTGCCGGTGATTCGCCTCACACCCATCGAGCGTCACAAACTGAAACTGACGGGTACCGTGGAGGTGCCTGTTTACGTGACGAGCTCGCGACGCAACGCCATGGGTGAGGGCTACGTCACCAAATTGGACATGCCCACCAATGAGCACGACTCCTTCTGGATCCTCGAAGGAGTGTGCATCATACTTAACACCGACTGACCAGTCTTCTGAGTGTGACTGAGACATCTGTGCCCAAGTCTGCCTCCCCTTGTTTGTTATTGAATAAATATCGTTAAGAGCCTTCGGGATCAGGAGAGCTTGGAGTGCCAAATGTATACGACTTGAAGGGAATCAGCATCATTTGAAATCCTAAATGTCGGTATGAGCAAGCTCATTGCCCCTCGTTTTATAAAGTGAATTAGGTGGTTTGATTTTTAGAAAAAAATAATCCCATTTTTGCAACATTCGATGAGATTAGTGTTACGCCATTGTAGAATCCTGTTTTAGGTTAAAGTTTTAAATTAAAAAATTGTTCATCTCAAGACCGAGTCACGTTTTGTGTGATAAATTCACTGCGACTCAACAATCAACCCTTCCTTGACATGACTTAAATTGTTTTAATCAGCCAGGCGCGGTGCTATAACCTTCCCCGCACTTTTGACTTGTTGAGTGGACTAAAGACATGCGCTTTAACGAAAACAGATGGGAAGTCGAGCTGCACATTCACTTAGATGGTGCATTCCGGCCATCCACTGTGTATAGATATGCCGAAAAGAAGGGAATACACGTACCTGGCTCTAATGCGGAGGAATTTACGAGTAGATTAGCAATAACGCAACCAAATTCTCTCAGTTCATTTTTACAAACGTTTGACTATATCATCTCACCTATTGCAGGTGATAAAGTAAGGTTTATTTTTTGTAATTTTGTTTTGGATTCTCACTTCTGGTAAGATCGTGTTTCGAATTAACAGGAAGCTATCAATCAGATAACACTCGATTTTGTTGAAGACTGTGTTACCCGAGGTGGTCACTGCTATGTGGAACCACGATTCTCACCCCACATCCTCACTGGAGGCAAGTTGAGTGCCGAGGAGGTCACTAAGACGGTTCTTGACGCGCTGGAACGTGGTGGCGCAAACCACGACCTCCAATGGCGTGCCATCCTCTGCATGATGCGAGGCAATCCCGAGTGGTCTGATGATGTCGTTGCTATCGCCAAGAAATTTCAGCCTTATGGCGTTGTCGCTGTCGATGTTGCCGGTTAGTTGTCTCTCAAATTAGGGTGTTCAACTAGGATGTCATTTAAGGCAGATTTTGACTCAATCGCTACCTGACGACAGTACATTTTTTCCTTCCAATTATCGAAATAAACTGTCACTCGACTTTGAACTAATTAGCATCCCCTAAGCATATCTAAGCTCAGCTTTTGGACCCAGTTTATGTCAAGGGCGTCTTTTGTCTCGGTTATTTGACACCGCTTCCCGTCCGTCCACCTCTGTAAGGTGCTACTGATTAGTTTACAATTTCTAAGGCCGCTGGAGAATTGAACCATCGGATTGGCATTACTTTCTTACTAAGATGTGTTTAAATCCCTTCTTTCACCTCGTTTTATGTTAGAATGCTTGTTAAATAATCCCGTTTGATAGCAATTGATCAGATAAAATGCCGTGATTTCTCGTCAATTGCTGCTGTCCTCTTCATCCTACAGTTATTACTAATTCGCTATCTTTTTTAGTGTTGGATTCTTCTCTTTTCGCACCTCAGAACTCATTCGCCTAAACTTGATTATCCTCAGTTTTAGTTGGTATTCCTTCTACAGATATTCATTCTTTTCCTTTTCATTAAGGCAAAGCTCTCATTTGAGTGGGAATTTTCGTAAGGACTCCTTTTCTGCTTGAAAAAATTAATTAGTCTGGTTCTAAAATAAATATCGCTACTTTTGCCTGCCTTAATGCTGCAGTTGATATCCTTCTGCTTGATAATAGCACTGTAGGCGCACCTTTTTAGTCTGATGGGCGATTTTACCCTCTCATTCTCGCCGTTCTTTTTCTGGAATGTTGTTATTTCAGCTAATGGTTTTGGCACTCACTCGAGGTCACCTAGACAGGGTCCATTCGTGTTGTTGTGTCATTGAGTCTGGCACGCAGTTGTGCTCCTTTGCGCCTCGGCGGCGGATGACCTGCTTTGTCTGTGATAGCACACAGGCCCTCTAGAACAATATGAGCGTTTACGGTGGCGGCTTTACGAGCACGATAGATCTCAAGCCAACCTTCTTTTCTTTCCCATTTTCTATCACAATGCCTTTTTTCACTAGCATCGAGCAAATCTTGGCTTTTAAAGACTTATTGTTGTCGACAGTAGTTCATTCTGCGGATGCAGATCTGGTCATTCTAGTTCAATGATTTTGAGTCCTCTAGGTCTGTTGGCACACTGCTTAGCGCAGTTTTTTGAGAATAAGAGACACTAGTAAAACCAGTTTTCTACAACTTGCAAGTCACTTCTCAAGGTAACTTAATTCGTTTTAATGAGTACTAGTAAGCCCGTGAACTACCATGGTTACTTCTCCACAAAGAGTACCCTTTTGTTCAATTTCTCTATTATGAAGGGTATCTGTGCTACTGAAGGATATTGTTACTGGCAGATGTTTCACTTCTGATCCAAGCACAAACTACTGTTGCCACTAGTCCTTTTTTTCTGCCTTTGGCAATTACCTATCTCCCCATTACCATCGTTGTTAACAGTGTCTAGGCTGATTGCAGCTACCATTCTAACGGTACCGTCTCTGGTGGTGGGTGCTGAATCGGTTTGGTGTTAGAATACAGCATCGTCTAGTTGGTATTCCCTACTAACTAACTGCTTAGTCATAGCTTTGCCGTGGCACCTAGGCTCGAGGTGATGAGGCGTTTTATCTCTACACTATTGTACGTCAAAGTGTGATGCAGTACGGCGCTTCCGATACTGCTGTCAGCCCCCTACTCACTTATTGCTTGTTGCCTCCCCCTAATCACCGTCTTCGTCAATTTTTTTGTGCTAATGAACCAGTGATTTTGGATGGGACTCCGCGACACATTTTACAGGTCATTCATGCATACACACACACCCACACACTTGCATGCAAACATTACCTTCAATCTAGCGTGCCTTGTCATCTCGAACTGCCTAATTTTAATCGGCAATAGGAGCCTCAAGAAGCTGTCACATGCCCAAAACGGCTTGAGCGTTAGTTCTAATAGTTGTAACTCACGAAAAAGCTGGAAGTTTCTTTTGAACTAAGGCTAATAAGTTTGACATCGGGAAGACCTATCATCACAGCCGAGGCGTTTTGGAACTCAGGCGCAATACTGATTGTCGCTGCGTTTTCACACTCATCTACTGGATAATGCATGCATGCCTATTTGGCTGTCATTAGTTTGTGCTGTCAGCTCAAGTAGAAAGTTGGTGTGTCATCGGAGTTAAGCTGGGCAGGCGGAAAATTGGCGGTGGGTGGAATAGTAAGCTTTCTTTCTAGTTAAAATTAGTTTGTGATTGACTTAATATTTGTAAGCAGTGCTCCGGACTAGATGCTCACGGCGTAGCCCTAAACAATTATTATTAAACAAACCTTAAGCGTGTTCGCGTTGTTATAATTATGAGATCCAAAAATTAATGATGTCTAATATTGCACTGCAAAAACCGGGGCGTCAGGGCTGTGGTGGTGCGTTCCAACTTATGACTTCCTTGCCACGGAAGTATCAGGTTGGAAGTCCTTTTTTTCTCGTCATGATGCACTAAATTGGTTTTCCCATTCTTCTGGTCACATGTTCTTGGCATTATGGGCAAAGCTTAATGCTGACGAAGCGTATGATTCTTCCATTGAATTTAGGCCCAATATTTATTGTAATTTCTCACCTTAATTACCAGCGGTAGACGAATTCGATTTTGACGAATGCTGTAAAAGTGTGGAACAAAGTATCCCTTAGGAAATTGCGGTGATTATCGCCTTCTATCATACTAAACATTCCGACTCGGCTTCTGATTGGTGAAGATTGTCACCCAATGACCGGATGAGGTTGTGCTGGTGCGAAGCCCGGTTTCTTGCCGTGTGTCGGGTTTTGCGCCTACTGGAGGAGTTCATTATCGCAGAGGCAATTAAATATCAGTCAAAAACGGCTCTGAGGTGGGTTTTTGAGTACGTATGAGCTTTGATTGTCATAAGTGTTAATCTTTACTTTCGTCAGTTGGTGTAAGTGCCGCCCGCTCCTCGTTTTATTATTTTGAATGCATTTCATTTCTGAGACCTCTTAAATTGCATAGGGATGTTGTTGCATTGCTTTTTACCTGGTTTAATGTTTCAATCATCGCTAGATTTGATCTTTATGATATAGATTGCGGTTTCACAAACATTACGGACAGAATGGATGGATTTCACGACTATTCTGCGAGAAGTGGTTTTATTTCTTCCCCCGAAGGCATATTTGGTCGCAAATAATAATACCTAGACTCAATAGACGAAGTCCAGCTTTGACAAAATGGCTAAGTTGAATTCAAACACCAAACCTTCTTAAAAGCATAATTAAATATTTTGTTGCCAAAATTTAGACCTAACTCTACGGATATGATTCAAAATATGAACTGAAATTTGGCAATTTTGTTATGCGCAAGATCTTTAAGATGTTTTCCACTAGTGCCTGGACCATCATTTTACACGATTTATTAGGTAGGTCGTCTGTTAACTTTATTTGCCTTCCGTTATCCATTCACACTAATACATATTAGTGCAGGGGAACGCATTTGTAAGCACTTTTTAAGATGAGAGATCGGTGGCATAGACAGTGGCATACCCATACTTCCAACGGCACGAATTCGGTGGACTAATCGTGGGAGGCTGAAAGGCTTTGCGGAGTGTCGGTATATGCAATCAAAACAATTTCGCTCTTAAGATACGAGGTGTAAAATGAAGTGGGCACCGAAATACCAAGTTAGACTTTAGCTTCCACTCCAATGTTGGTGTTTGTTAAGCAATCATAGTTTTTGCCAGTTCCATAGCCTACAACAAACGCGTACCCGAATTTTACGGCATGTTAGAAGTAATGTCATCAGGCTGCTGGTTGACGGCAGGCTGAAGCACGCTGGTTAGGGTTGTTCATTACGTGGATGCGGGATACACGACAATTGACATCCAATCGTACGACACTTACCACGTGCTGTGCTCTGCTGATGTTTGATGGGGACAATTAAGGTTATTTTCCCGCTATGAGGGTGAAGTTCACGCCAGTGGTTGTACATACAAATCGCACGGCAATATCTCATCATTGATATTGCATTCCACAGGTGATGATAAACCATGTGATGGAACGAACACAGACCCACGGATAAAGGAGGCCTTTAAGAAGGCCAAGGCGGGGGGTCTACACTGCATAGCCCACGCGGGTGAGAACGGGCCAGCGGCTTCAGTCACCGAGGCCGTCCATGAGATGTTTGCGGAGCGAATCGGCCACGGGTACCACATTTTAGACGATCCAGCAGTCTACAAAGACGTGCGCGAAAGGAATATTCACTTTGAGGCAAGTTTTAGTCCTTCAAATGTATATTTACAAGTTGGTTAACTACTACCAAACTTTTGGTTCCCCCACTAATGGCTGTATTGCTTGCCAAAGGATAAACAACTGTTTGCATCCCCACCCATTTACAACTTATTCCGTCACCGTAGTAACCGTACTTTCACAATGAGCCTGCTTTCGAGATAGAAGACCAGAAATTGCCTTAACAACGAGACAGATCTGCTGTATCAATCAGGTGACTGGCTGCACTCTTTTCGCGCTTGTTTCACCATCATGACAAGGGTAAAGCCGAAGTCACACGCCCGGTGGCATGCATGGTAATGCACTTCCATTGCCTACTGGGAGACAGGCTTCAGGTGTGACCAATGCACGACTCTCCGTTCTTCTATGACCTATTTGAAGCGAATTTTTCCTATCATCGGCAAGATTTGCAGGGTGTCTCCCGACTGCTCTTGTCTGCCTTGGTGTGATGGTTGCGATGGCGTACTTTTAACGGGTGGAGCCGCAAGAGACAAAATCTCTTGTGATTTTCACGGAGTTTGTTATGGTTTGGTGCAAATCACTGAATTTCGCTATCTGACATGAAACAGGTCTGTAGACACATTCACATGCATTCATTAGGTGGCCGGCACTCCTGTCGGCTACTGTGAGTAACAGTCAGACCATTTCGTCGTCGGAGGCGTAGAATTTCAAGAGACAGTTGCCCAAGTAATCCTTTTTCAACCTCCAACGCAGGTGTGCCCCCTCTCTAGCAAACTGACGGGCTCAGTCCACGGCGAGTGGTCCTCGCACCCAATCACTCGCTTCGAAGCTGACAAAGTCAACTACTCCATCTCCACCGATGACCCCACAGTGACAGGTCAGTGGATGCAGGCGGAGAAGCGTATGCTCGCTATGCAAATGGTGCTGGAGGGTGAGCAGTTTCACATGGCCAATCTGCGTGCTGCTGAGGCCTGCTTCCTCGGTGCTGAGGACAAGGCTGCGTTGGTTCAGCACCTCAAAGACCACCCCCCCTTCTAAGCGCCACTTCTGGCGTCTGTCGAGTGCACTTCCCCAGCTTCTAGTACGTCCTTCTGTTAGTCTTCCTGTTCGTTCGCATATCCGTCCATAGGTGTATCTGATTAAAGCTTCTTTAATTTCAGATTGTCTTTGTTGGTGTGTGGTGGGAGAAGGGGTATTTGGTAGTTGTTAGAAGGCTCTCGATTAAGTTGCCTCATTGCGTGTTGCTCTGCTTGCCTTGCTTGTCCATGATGATACTGATGTTTGGGGGTTTGGGCTGTCTAAATGTGATTGAGGAGTGAATTAGCGAATCCTCTGGTCTGCGTGTGTTTCTACCTCGCTTCGACTGCACTGTTGTGCCAGCAGACATAACCGTTGTCCACGGCAGTCCAGCAAGTACAGATTGAGTTGCCCCCGTGGAGGTACATCCGAGCAGCGGTATGTTCTCTCGCCATTCATCGGCTGGCGCAGGCACCGTCAACCACCACGGCAGGAACCAGTGGCACCAATGAATGACTTCTGGCGTGGCGCGATGATGAGACTCCCAGGAGTGCGACTTCCGGCGTCAATCATGCGGCTCTAAGCGCGCAGCAGCCACCCGGCCGGCGTGCGGAGGAGCTGTGAACTCCATCGTTCACGGAAATTTGCAATCTAGGAAGGTTGAAGCGTGTTGGGCTATCGAGACTAGCAAGGAGTGTCAGGATGGGTCAGCTGTAATGGCAAACCCTTCCATACCGAAGCCCGGGGAATGTTTATCAGTACAAAATTGAACCAGGTTGAAAAGGGACACAATTTTGACTCACCGAAATGTGCTTCTTTCAGCCCTCCTCGCGTATTCACGCCCAGTACGTTCAAAAGGACCGTATTTCAAAACTACCGGTGTCCAAAAATGAGCTCCACCCGTTGACAAACAGAACATGGATTCCAGATCCAAAAAAACAACCAACTTAACCATTGACAAACCCTGTCAACCCATTTGCTTCATAAATTTAATGTGTATGCGGATGTAAAGTGTGCTAATTGGACCTAAAATCCTTATTTTGTAAACCAAAGTTACGGATTGTTCTAACTGACAGGAAGTTGGGTGTTTACGCACTGTCAAGATGCTAGTCGTGATTTTGCACCCGTCTCCAAGGTTTTTGGATCTAAAAGCGAGCTCCGATACGGCCTGCATTGCCAGTGATCGCAAACAGCTTCCTCCGGATTTAAAAACGTGTCTAGCAGTATGAGTTGATAAAATGAACTAGATGACGGAAATGAATTGCTTGGAGTGCGCGTCCATACGTCTTCACGCGCTGAGACGTGTACTTGACTCACATCGTTGAGGCTTTAACAAATCGGTTCCATTTATTGTCGATATAGATCGTCAGGATTTCTTCATCATTGACAGGAGGTCAATCACAAATATTTCAATTCTTTTAAACTACAAATACACAATTCTACGACTTTTAGAGAACACCTACACTGACGGAGCAAAGCCGCATTCCAACCATACACGCACCTTCCGCACACAGCAACCAAGGAAGAACAGAATACTAATCGATGGACACTTTCAAGCATGATTATTGCAACCACAACTAATTATTACCGCCTAGCACCACTGGTAGCCACTTTCCGAACAGATCCAAAACTTGAGATACCCATTTGCCATGTTACTTAAAACTCATAAGTAGACACAAACCATAGAAAATACTATAGGCTTTATTTCAAAGGCCGGCTTCACATCACTTTCGCTAAACAAACACGTCGGCTCACTCCCCTGCTGGCACCACCTCTACATCTGCCTCCTCTCCTTCTATGCACCTCTGAAATTTTGAGAGTAGGAGAGACGCCGTAGCCTCGCACAGTGGTATCCAGAGCATGGAAATAGCCCAGTTGGGGATGTAATGAGTCCAGTGCACCAGGCTGCCAACCAAGGCACGAGTTTCATACAGCAGGGCCAAGCGTTCATCGGATAGTCTCTCCCGAGGTGCTCCATAGACCAACCAAGCCAAGAGGACAGCATGGAGGAGGTAGCGCAAACACTGCGCGAAAAGGCCGCAAACTAGCTGCAGGGGAAGAAAGGGGAAGTAATTACAGAGCATTCCAATGTAAAACAATCGAAAAAGACGCGAACCGTCGTGCCCAGCTGTGACCGGTCCGACTCGGCTTGTTGCCTATCCAGAGCCCTAACTTTGCGCTCGAGTTTAGAGTAGACCGCAAAATTGTCCACCATGTTGAGTTGACTCATTTTTTTCCGAAGGTCACGCACTTCTTGACATCTGAGTTGGGAAGCTCGATAATGAGCACGACAGGAGGGTAAGAGATGTGCAGCTAACTTGGGGACGAGAATAGGGAGGAGGATGCCAACAAAACGGCAGATGATTATTGCTGCTAGACAGAGGGAGAGATAATGCATCCAGACAGATAAAACGTCGGCCTCAGTAGTCATTAGAATCGACATCTCCGGTCGTTGCATTGTAAAAGTCGTTGTACACCTACCAGATATCGTATTAATCATATCAAGACAAGGTGTACAACTTACTTCGTTTTCTAGTGTTCTTGTAAGGAGTTGAACCTCGGCGATTTTGCTCAAAAGTTGCCGAACCTTGGAGAGGCGTGTCTGGAAGCTCTTGGTGATTAGATGCACAAGTTTGGCGCTCTCTTTACGATATTCTGATAGAAGATGTCTGGTAACCTCGTCTTGAAGTTCCAAAGAGGCCTCTTCAGCAGGGAGAGAATTAATTAACAGTTCAATCTGTTTCGCTGTAGTCGCTATTGTAACAGCAAATTTGTGAGCGTTATCTAGGTGACAAAACCAATCGCTAGTAGTCAGACAAGTTTTGAAAGACTTTGTTTTGAAACAGACACTTTACCTTCTTGACTTTGATTTTGCAAAAGCGCCTGAAACTCTGGATTGGAGGCCCACTCCTTTTCTCTACGACCGTTATGATTAAGTTCACGGAAGAGACTTGGCTGTGCAAGCTGCTGAATTACTCCAACAGCGTTACCGAGATTCTCAGCTTGCAAATTAATAGCGTCCTGCAACTCTGTCAGACGATCAGCCATGTACGGCTCCGGACCAACCTCTCTGAATTGCTTAAAATGAGTTCACATTTTGGCATCAAGCACTGATCATATTGACAAACCAAAAAACGTGAATAAAATGCTTACATAGGTGCAAATTTTTTTGCATTAAAAATATTTTAGGACACGACCAAATAACTAAAGTCCTAAGCAAATTCTGCATCAGAGCGCATTTGTAACTTTTTTATTAAATTTGAGAGGAATTCAGCATTTGTGATTAAAAGTGCTGTAACATAGTGGAATAAGCTGAAAGAAACATGAAGCAGGTGCAACAAAAACAATCATTGACTTAACAAACTTAACGCAATATTTTTTAACAATTAATATGCTTTTATTTGGGCTTATATCATATCCAAAAATAAGAAGACTGTGTTTTAGTATATAAGCTCTGGTACCGTAATTGGCTGAATTATTACCGCGTCGCACAGCCTTACTTGTGTTTTGTGTTTTTTTTTGGCGTACGCTTTATCAATGTTTCTTTTAACATCGCTTGATGCTATTATTAGTATCGTCTACATCCTTGACACGGAATCATTGGGATGTCTCTAAGCTGGATCCCCTAATCCCTTTTCCCATTTTCAGCGCCCCCTTTTTCTTGAATTATTTTCCACATATCTTTTCTAGCTTTGAATTCTTTGTGATGAGTCTCAACTCAAAGCCGCCTGATTATCTTTCCATGACACGTGGTCAACTCCAACTTGCATTGGGAAGACAGCTTGCTCTTAGAGACTGGTACGTTAAACAATAGTACTAAGAATTTAGTCTAACATGCTAGTTTAACACGCCGGTTATCATTCGTTATTTTTGGTTCAGCTTATCATCCAAGCTGCCAGACTCCGGTAAGAAGCTGAATGAATCAATAGCTCGTGTTCAATCCATCCTTGAGACCAAACTTCATCAGCCTCCTCTTCTACCACCATCCGCATTACAAATTCGTAGCCCAAATCGCAGACGTCTTGGAGTGCTTTGCACCTCCTCAAAAGACGTAGTAATTGAAAAAAAAGAAGAGGGTGAAATTGAAGATGTTGACAGTTTAATCGACGGCCTTGTCTCTCTCAATCTCGGTCCTGCGAAAAGTGATGATGTAGGGGCCGAAGAAGACTTGTCGCAACTTCCTAAAGAGCCTCTTACTCCTGATGAGATTACCAATTTTCGGCGCCTTTGCAATTTGCCTCGTTTGAACGACGAGGGTGTCTCCTATCATGCCTTTCTCTTTCAGTTGAGGCCAATCAATTCTGAACTTGTCCGTCTCATGATTATTGATTGTTGGTAGGTCAGCTAGCTACAGGTTTTAGATTCCCTTCATTTGTTTCTGCTTGTCTCTAATCCAGGAATTCGACAAAGCAGTTTGTGAGGCATGGGGCGATCTTCACGTGGGCAATTGAAGGTAGTCCTCTGCCACACAATGCGACAATGCGATACGACACAGACACTGCCGCGCCTGGTATAGCGGTGGCTGAGATGTGGCGATTCGTTCGGCAGGAGTCGGCAGCGGAGTGGTCTGTGCTTGTAGCCGATTGTGCGGGAAGTTTGGTACGACTGCGCCGGCTCTTTTGCTGCCCCAGTGTCCGTCATCACCCTGGGGCGAGGAATGGAATGCCGAAGAACATCCGTTTTATCGTGGCTGATGATGCTAATTCCGAGAAGTAAATTCTTGTTATTTTATCAGTTTGCACCAGGCTTGAATAATTAGAGCAAATAGTGTGCAACTTTTGTTAGTGGAAATTCAACAAATGAATTACTGTTATTTACTCAGTCCTTTTTTTGGTTTTGACTTGTTTGAAGTAGGTGGGGGTCCTGTTTGATCAACTGATTCTTTCTTAAAAAAAGGTTATCGATGTATTTTTCAATACATGGGCTTGGCCAAGAATTGCACTGTCTTTACTTGAAAAATTGATGGAGAAGCTGTATAATTCGAGAACATCGAGTTTATAGTATCTTTGATGTGAAACCCCTGCGATTGGTGACCATGCCTCCTGTAATAGCGGGTTTTTTAGTGTCATGGGATTGCTATGGTACTATTTTTCACTATCATATCTTGAGACCACTCGACTCCTAGTAGAATTGAATTTACTACGTGGTCTTCACCTGTGAGTTCTGTCTTCTGCAATTCGACTGAAGAACTTCTTTCTTGACGCAGGAAGGCATACGAAACAAAGGAGCAGCAACTCTCCGAAGAGGGCGGTACGAGCGCCAGCTCGATGGCGTGCACTGCGCACTACGCGAAGTTGGATGCAGCGGCCTTGGCCAAATTGCGACCGAAAACTGTTGCGTGGATCGAGGTGGGTTGCACACCTCGAAAGAATAGCGTTGACTCAAAGTAGACGTCTCTTCATCCCTTCAACCATCCATTAATCCACCCTTCTGTTTCTGCCACTTTTTTTCATTTCCTCAATCTGCTTCAATCGAACCGATCCCTGCCTTTTATTTGTTGGTGAACCTATTTTTTATTTCAGCTCCTCTGGCTCTCTAACTCAGAACTCACTCATCTCTTCAGCCCTTTACTACTCCACCTGCCAAATGATCCAGTCATCCTTCATTACATCCACATTCCTTTCACTAGCTTTACTTTCATAATAAAGGCTAAAGAGTGTCGGTAACTCAACAGAACCGCTCCATTGTTAATTGATGGGTTTCATTCTACTTCCAGGCGCCTCTAAATCTCCACGCTCTTCGTGCTATCGCCGAAATGCCACGTGGTCCTGTGGTCTGCCACCCGCCCTACATAGCCCCCTCCGTTTCCTCCTGTGTATCCCCAAAGAGCGACCAACAGACTACGCCAGGATCTCCTCCCATGCTCAACTCCGTGAACAAGTCCCTCCTAATTCGACTAGCCGCTACCGGCTTCAACCCCTCTTCTCTTGCCCTACTCGCCGGACAGGCACGGTGGCGCGGCTTTGCTGGCCTCCTCGCGACGTCTCACGTCTCCCGATGTCCTGAGGATCTGGCCAACCTTTACCGCCTCTTCAGACGGGTGTATCGGTAAGCTAAAACATTATTCTTATGATTAGGTAGGAGGCGTAACTAATTAAGCGCAATTTCGTTCCCCTTTCAAAGTGGTCTAGCGCTAAACACGGATCTGTATCGCGAGGACGCCTCAAAGCCGTCATGTTCCCCACTTTGGAGTTCACCGTTACGACAATTGAAGACCCTTTCGATGAAAGAGTCCCTAAAGGTTATGACGCGAGTTCGCGATGAGTTAAAGGTCCGTTCCTCCGGTTTATCCCTTTTCCTCGTTGTACTTGTAATTTTCCGACCATCCCGCTTCTGCAGGCGTCGCAGAAGGAAGCAGTATTAGAGGCCAGACTAAGCTTGCCACCTGCATCCGCGATGTTATTGAAGTGAGTTTCCCCCGATTTGACTATCAGCGTAGTTTGATCTCGATGTCACTGTCACTTGTGCTCAATGGCTTGCAGGTATCGTGAACAGCAAGCGGAAGAATCAGACGATACACTGTGCGCAGACAGCGATGATGATTGAACTTTTACCAGATTATATCAGTATGCAAGCCTTTCTTACTACCGTTCATTTTTGTCCTTTTATCTTTGGAGAATAAAATGTCGACTCAGTCCAGTGTAAGTACCAGCAAAGATTGCCACCGATCTTAGTAGGGGCTTAAGTGCAGCAGACATGTATCATCAACGCAGCCTTGAAAGCATTGAGATATAAAATTTTGGGAACAGCTGAAATAACAGCGGCAGAGGCGGCTGAAGTACAGGAGGCTAGAAAGATCCGTATGGTGGTAGTTATACGTCCTCCGCAGGCGATGTAACAGACCCTTCAGTGATATTTGTTAATCCAATCCACTACTTTGTGCAGAAGCTACCACCATGTCTTCCTGACAGGCTTTTAAAATAAGCACAAAAAACGCCGTCGGCACACTTTACCAGTGTCTTACTTGATCACCAGGTCCGTGGTGCTGAAATAACACGACGAAGTGATGGGAGACGTGCGTTATGTCCATGGTTGTTAGGATTTATTGTAAATCCAGAAGAAAATAAGTCAGGAATTAATGATCTCTAGTTGTTGTTTGCCGTCTGCAGAACACGCAAAACGTAGAGGAAGAGATTGAGGATATCCAAGTAGAGGGTGATGGACGCGGCGATGTATTCCTCCGCGGAGAAGCGCTCCATTATTATCTGCGTGTCAAAGATCAACAAGCAGGCGAAGAGAAAAGCACCACTAATCGATAGAGCCAGGTGAATAGCCGGAGAGGCGAAGAACGTCTAAAAGACAAATCGAACTGACTAGATAGTGCATTGGACAGCGGATGAGTGAGAAACCGTACGTTCAAGACGCCGCCGACAAAGAGGGCCATCAGAAGCGTACCAAGGCAGGCGGCCCAGGAGGAGAAATCACGCTTCGTTTGCAACGTGTAGAGGGTTAGACCAATGGTAAGAGCTGCGGTAATCAGGAAAGCTTGCAAGACGATCGCCAAATCAAAATGAACGACTAGATATAAGAAGAGTTAGTGGGGAAAATGGCACTTTACCGACCAATCCTACAAAAAAGGATTCAACCAGAGTCTAAGAGGAAGGTTAATCCAACTGAAACATACGAAGCTAAATAGCAGGATAAAATTCATTGGAGTGTCATATCGCTTGTAAAACATCGCTATCAATAACACGAGGGAGGCAATGATCAGTAAGAGCAAAATGAAAGAACTAAGAGGCCATTGATGTAATGCAAACAATGTGTCCCACTTTTCAGCCAGAAAAGGTGATAACTGTTCCTTAAAAGTAAGCAGAACAGCTCCGGTAGTGCAGGTTAGGACCAATTGTGCGCAAAGAATAGAATAGAGTTTTCGAAGGAATTCTTTGGCAATATCGAGAGGAGACAATCTTACCCATCCGTATGTAGACATCCGCATCTTTGACACAGTTATTATACGAAAAGTCGTTTTCTAGTTTCCGACCCAGCGAAAGACTCGACATTTTCGTAGAGATATTTTGCAGAATAAAGAACCAATAGAAGCCAAAGTTGCTAATCCTCGTTTCTGTTCAGTCTGTTTGTAAACCACATCTTATAATGATAGTAGTCGGGATTACAAACAATTCTATAGTTATGTAAATATACTTTGAAACGATTTCAGTGATAAAATGTTTGCTTCTTTGTAAGGAAAAACGTCTGTTGTAAATGCCACTTTAGGGAGAAAAAACCCTGTTGTTTATATTTCCCTAAATACTGACTTTATAGCTGTAATATGATTTGTATTATGCACACAGTCAACTTTATATCACAATGTTTCTTTCACCAATTCGTAAATGATATGATTTCTTGCTAAAATTAGAAGATTTATTTCACAGAAAGTAGCATTTTGAGTAATATTGTAAAGCAATGCACCTGTCAATAACTCTGCTAGAGGATATCGACTTTCCTGCACAAGCATTTAATGGTTTGAGGAGCTGTGGTGACGCATTTGTCCATCTTTTTCCTCCATGCCTCAAATTTGAGGTCCTATGTAATACTTATGTAGCGTCCCGAGACTTCCTTAAAGACGAAGTAAGACACAATACTTGGGCAGAATATGTGTTTAGCGCAGAGAAGATCTTTGGGCTACTGGCATGGCCTGAAGGCCAGCCCCCTCAGCGAGGTACAAGAAGGCTAATTCAAAGTACAAAAGTGGAGCCTCAACAATACCGAGGAATAAACCACCATCGTATTACATTTATATTGTTTTAATGTACCTTTCAGAGAGGAGGCAAGACTACACTTCGAATCTGGTGACGTAGTCGGCGTCTCCCAAGCCTGAGAGCGATTGCGGCTCCCCCCTCCCCCTCTTTAAACTTTGTACGTGTTTTCCCGATCCACTTCCCTCTAATAAATATGTCGAAATTAAATCAACCAGGTTGTTCTAAAAGCACTAGGAACAAGGAAGAGGAGACCTGCTAGTTTCATCCTACACGTACATCAAGAAAATTTGCAAGCTGAGGATAGAGTTTATTAAAACAGCGCAATTTTTACAAAGGATCAAAGTTTATTGAGGATTATCAGTTTATTTCGTACTCGTGGGTAAATATCGCCTTTTCGGTCTTGAATCTATTCCTATCAGTCCACTTGACATACATAACTACATTTGATTTTTGATGGGCGATGTAATTCCTTTTTCAACATCCGTTTTATTTGAGACGCGGTAAGTGTGCATGACATCCGTGACTGGGCAGATGTTGTTGGCTCCTAAGTAGAAAATGATCTCCGAAATTACTTAACCAAGATCTACAGGACCCTT